GCCGGTACATGCCCTGGTCGTGCGGCGATTGCTTGAAGCCGATGCGAATGAGGCGAGCGTGTAGGTATTGTTGCCATAGTCGCGGAGCTTGCTTGATGCCGTAGAGCGACTTGAGTAGTTGACAGACGTGGTTTGAGTCCATGCTGGAGCCGTGTGGTAGCTCGACGAAGATCTCTGCGTCAACAGGTGCGTAGAGGAATGCGTTAGCGACGTCGATTTGCCGCAGCTACTTCTTCTTCATGGCGGCGATTGCGAGAAGGATGCGTAGCGAGGTGTGTCGGCTGACCGGAGCGAATGTTTCGGTGAAATCGCGTCCGTACTCTTGGTCGAAGCCGCGTACGACCCAGCGTGCCTTAAATTTGTCGATGGTGCCGTCAGCCTTTGTCTTCACACGGAAGACCCACTTCCCGGTGAGCACTGTCTTGTTCCGTGCCACGCCAATAGGAACCACTTTCCACGTGTTGCGTTCCTCCAGTGCCTTTAGTTCCTTGTCCATGGCTTCACGCCAATTTTCCTTATGTTTCCCCCCCAGAGCCTGCTGAACCGTTGCAGGCTCTTTAGGAGTGGCGGAGCCGTGGACTGCGGCGACGAGCCCGAGAATCTGCAGTCCACTCTGTGAGTAGCGGGGAAGATTTACGTCCTCGGGATAAGTTGCTTCATCTCCCGCTTCTGGATCAGGTATGAAGTTCGGTCCTATTCGTTCTGCTTCGTTGGTGTTGACTGTCGCCGGTGTTACGTAACCGTTGTTGGCGAAATGGTAGAAGGTTTCGGCGTTGGCACTTTCGCGAGGGTTGTCTTCGTCCATGGGAACGTCGACGGAGCAGAACGGGAGAGGTCCGGCTTCTTCTGATGCGTTGTCCACATTTTGCTCGTCCCAGTCAGCTTCGTCCGCTGCTGAGGCGAAGGCTCGGTCACCACGAAAACCACCTGTGGGATCTTCGTCTTCTTGCAGGTTGGCAAGGTATGTCTGGAGCGTGAGTCGTTCGTAGAAAATTACGTCACGTGCTGCTACTGTTTCCTTGGAGTGGACGTCGAAGATTTTCCACGCGTTGTAGTTCTTTTCGATTCCCAGGTGTAGTCCCCACTGTGCTCGTTGAGAAAATCGGCCCGCTCGTGCTGCTGGGGGTCGGTACTGTACCATGCATCCGAAAACTCGTAACATTTTTGTGCTGCCCTGTTTCCCTGTCCATAGCAGATGCGGTGATGCGTTGTTTGGAAGCGATGATGACGACAGCAAGTTGTGCAGCATGACGGCGTGGTCCATTGCTGCAGGCCACTGGTGGTTGGGTAGCCGCATGCCACGTAACAGTTTGCGCATGCTGTTCTGCAAGGTCCTGTTCATTCTTTCTGCTACACCTTGCTGCTGATGCGCGTAGGGAAGGGAGATGAGCTGTTTGATTCCCCTTTCCGCCAGGTACTGCTTGAATCGCAGAGAGGTGTATTCTCCTCCTCCGTCTAACTGGAAGCTTTTCAGTTGCACGCCCGATTCTCTCTCTGCTTCTGGTAGCCACGCAACAAAGGCTGCGAATGCCATGTCGCGGCTAGGGAGGTTTAGGTGCCAGACGTAACGGGTGGCGGCGTCGATGAAGGTGATCGTGTAGTTGTATGTTACTTGTCCTGGTTCCCGATTGAACAGTATGTCGCTATACACCTTCTCGAGTGGTGCGTACACGGGTGCGCTCGGGTTGTGATGAGGTGCAAACGGTCGATGTGGTAAGTCACCTTCAGGGCAGGTGAAGCACGTTCCGCGTACTCGTTGAAGTTCTCGTTCGTCGGTCAGTAGGAGTGAGTCCTTGTCGAGTACTCCTGCTCTTATCGTATTGTTTAATACTGTGTTGCTTGGGTGTCCCATCCTTGCGTGCCAGGTGCTTTTGTCGGCGCGATGTCCGGGTGATCGTCGGTACATATCGGAGTTGGAGAAGATGTTGGCGGTGAAGTTGGCGCTACGATGAACTTCTCGTGGTGCTAGGTGTAGTTGTTGCGCGGGTGTTGGTGGTGTGTCGTCGATGAGGAGCGGTGTCGTTGAAGGACCAGCAATTGGTGTTGACGTTCCTGCTGCTGCCGTTGATGGTTCTGCTATTGTCGATGTTGTCTCTGCTGCTGCCGATGTTGTCTCTGCTGCTGCCGATGTTGTCTCTGCTGCTGCCGATGTTGTCTGAATTGTTGCTAACGCCCTTGTTCTTTCTGCTTCGGGGATGGTGTGTGAATACCAGAAGCCTTCTGGACTGAAGTCTGGATCAAGGTCCGGAGGGTGTGTCCAGTTGGTGAAGTTGACGATGGCGTCGCTGTCGGCGGTGCCAAGGTCAGGAACGAAATCAAGAACGAAGACGTTGTTCTTGAGGACCGCCTTGCCGATGTAAAGTCCTCCTCTCCCGTGATACAGCTTGAATTCTTGGGTGGTGCTGTCTACTTCGAGGAGAATCCCCTTCGCCATTAGCTGACTGACGCTCAGTAAGTTGTAGCCGAGTCCCTCCGCGATTAGTACTTTTGACATTTGCAGTATAACGTTTGTTTCCATTGACTGAAGTTGAACTACGCCTTGTCGTCGTGTTCGTAGGTTCTGATTGTTGGCGACTGTAATGACAACTTCGCGTTGAAGTTGGTGTTCTCGTTGAACGAAGCGTCCCGAGAAGCACATGTGTTGTCCGCAGCAACTGTCCAAGAACCATGTGTCCCTTCCGGATGGTTCGCTTTGGGCGATGGCGGCGTATGTCGGGTTCGGCTGAAGTGACTCGCGGCGGGGTGTGGTTTCGTCGAGTTGTTCTTCCGGTGAGTAGTATGGTGGTGACTCGGTGATGCAGGAGTCTGTCAGCATTGCCATGCAGCTGACGATGTTTCTTGCTCCTTATGCAGGTTGCCCTGTTGAAGTCGTTGAAGCTTGAATCTGAGTCGTGGGATTTACTTGCGTTGAGGCGATTTGGCTGCTTGAAGGTCGAAGTTGTCAGAATATTATCTTATTGTTCTAGCCTGTAGTGGGGTGCTCTATAGCGAGTACAACCCTTCTAGGGTTTGCTATTTGTATCCTCATTCTTGCTAGTTCAATCCCCTCTCTTTCTTCCTTCAAACTTTGACAGAAGTTGCCGCTGCGGGGTTGTTGACTGTTGACGATTCGGGCAGTGTGTACGCGGGTGTCCTGAAGTTTTGCAGATGTGGCAGAACGGAGGTACTGGCTTCGGTTGTTGCTGCCGGTTGTTGTTGTTGTTGTAGCGTCGCTGAGTGTGGAACGCGAATTCCGGTGCTGATGACTTCTTTTTGTGTCGTTCTTCTTGCAGGTCCATGTCTTGTTGCTCGGCGTGGATTTCGGCGCAGAGCGCTGCTTCAGAGATTCTTCCGTGAGCTCGGAGGATAGCCTTTGGGTGCGCCATTGAGGACTGAGGCCGCCGATGATGACTGTCACGAAGGCGTCTTCAGAGATCGACCCTCCGCATCGAAGAAGCTTGTCGCACAACTCGCGACATCGACTGATATACGCCATTCCTTTCTCCCCTGGTTTCATTTCAACCGTTGTCAGTTGCGCCATTAACCGACTTTGACTTACACTGTCTGCTGCTTGATACAGGCTCTTCAGGTGGTTGTACGCGAGCTCCGCGGAGTTGCCGTAACCTCGGTAAGTCCTTATGTTCTGCTGTTGAGTCGGGGTGATGTTCCTCAGTAGGATCGTATGCGCCATCATTGACTGATAGGTGTACTGCTGCTTCTCGTACTGTGTGCCGTTTGTTGGGTATGGCAGAGACCCGTTGAAGAACCCGAGTATCTGCGCGCCTTCCATCATCAGCTCGAACTCGAACGACCAGGTGAAGAAGTCATTTCCATCGAAGGGTCTTGACGTCTGCATCTTCAGAACGTGAGCGAACTGCGACTGAACTTGCAATGCGTCTAGTGGTTTTTCTTGTCCAGGTGAGGGCTGTGGGTGCGGCATAAAGCTGATGGACCCGCGCTCGTACGGAGCAAAGGTAAGCTGCTGTTGTTGATTTCCTCGTGCATATGATGAGCCGTCGAGACTCATGGGTGTTGCTCCGTTGTTGTTGCTGTTGTGTGACTGCGAAGGTGCTGATTGCTGGTGTTGCTCGTAGAAAGACATGAAGGAGAAAAACTTCTCCATCATGCTCTGGTCGAAGTCTGCAGGTTGATTCGCGGGAGTCTCGGTAGATGTTCCTCTGGGTCTTGCTGCCGTGCCCTCCTCTGTCTGTAGGCCAGAGGCAGGAGGTGGAGTAGGAGTAGTTCCCTGGGAGCCGTTGGAGTTGCTCCTTTCTTTTTGTGTAGCCATGCTGATTGATAATGTTGGTATAGAAGTTGAATTCCCCCTGATAGCTCTGATACCATGTATGGCTGAAAAAGGCCCTTAGGATCTTTGCAGGGGTGAATCCTGGGTAGAGTTGGTGTAATAGCGGAAGCGTTAATAAAGTTTTGTGAACCACCTTGCGCTAGTATGTGAGAGCAAAGTAAGTTGACTAAAACAAGGAGATAGAAGATTATATATGAATACTGAGAATATGAAAAGACACAGTTATAACTAACTACTTTACTGTTGCTGTTGCGGTTCGATACAGTGACGACTCGGGCAACTGCTCTGTAACGAGTCAGTTGTGTGTCCTTGCTGTCGCGCTGTACTTGTCAGGTCAAAGGTCACTGACATTTGACTTTCGCGTAACCTCCAGCGGTTACTTCAACCTCCAAGGGTTGACTCGCTGGTTCCTCGATATCCTTTGCTTCGCTTGTGCCTTAGTGTTTCGACACGACAGAGGCGCTTAGGACCGATTGTTTCCAACAACCATCACTCTTACAGCTCACTGTATCTCTCGAGCTCTCCCTCACACAGTTATCTTCAGACCTGAGAATATGGCCACTCACAAAGGCAATGACTCTATCAAGACTGCACATAGAATTGGAGCAACAGAGCCGTGCACCGAATTCCTTCATTTACATGTTTGTACAGGAGCAATAACTCAAATGCCAAGGCCACCAGCAGAACAGATATCCATAGTTGAGGCCATCTACCATCATCTCATCTGCCTCTCCCCGCCATCCTCTCCCCTCCCCTCACCCCCACTCCCAGCTTCTCTCCTCTTCCCCCCTCCCTGCCCCCTCCAAACGGATCCTTCACAAATCAACTGTCCCCCACCGTCGCCTGGTGGGTATCTCTCGACAAATGCAGAGAGAAGGTCGCATGTGGGGCTATCCGCGCTACAGACAGCGCCGTTATCGAGTCAAACCGCACCTGCGCCCCCTCCTTCTCAACAAGAGCCACGTGCACCACATCTTCGTACGCCCCCTCCCCTCCCGTTTCCGCCACCAGCGCTATTAACGCCGCTTGCAACGCTGGAAGGCTTGGGTTGTACGCAGCGGACTCAATATAAGACCCTGCATGCACCGCTCCTGTCCGCGATATAAGCGCTACTCCAGAGGGCGACAGGCTGTAGGGAGTGTAGGACGCGTTGGCAGCGTCTAGAGCACGCAGAACGGCTTCCTGCCCGAGAGGAGTGGAGAGAACCGCAGCAGGAGAACCAGCAGAGGCAGCTGCTGCAGCTGCAGACTCGATAGCGGATGGGGAAGAGGCGGAGAAAGAGCGGGAGAGTGGAGGCACCACCATGAAATCCAACGGCGATGGCGCGTCAACAGGATCGATTAACTGCAGGCCGTTGTCTCGCTGTTCCAGCAGCAGCGGGAAATCGTCGGCTAGTAGACTGTGGGGGCCGAAACGATGCGGCAACAAATGCGTGAGGGTCGTCTCTTCCGCCTCCTCCGTCTCTTCCGCTATAATCACGCGCAGGGCCTCTGCTCCGCGCAGCTCTTGCATAAATTGCCGGCAATGGCCGCAGGGGGGGCGCGAGACCAGTAGCGCGGAGAGCGCGGGCTCGCCGTGCAATGCGGCGGAAGCCACGGCGAACTGCTCGGCGTGCACAGAGTTATGGAGAGGCAAGCCCGGGAACTCAAGATTCACTCCCAGGAATCCGCGGCCCGTCTTAGCGCCTATTGCTATCGCGGAGACGTGGAAACGCGAAATGGGAGGCCTAGCGCGGTCGGTGGCGGGTTGCAGGAGATAACGGCATATGTAGTCTTCTACGGAGAGATTCACGGCGGAAGATGCGGACGAGAGGTCTGAGGCCGAGAGAACGAAAGGGACGGGGCAAGGAGGAGGGATAAGCGGATGTAGCGCAGCGGAAGACTGGGAAACGGGCGAGTCAGGGTCGGAGCGCGGGAGGGGGGAGTACGGGGAGGTGACGGCAGGGGAGCCGCCATTAGGAGCGGAGGAAGCGCGGGGTGAGAAGAGACAGGCGGTCTGGGAGAGGCGGATATGGGATGAGGCTGGTACGTGGGAGGAGAGACACGAGAGCCTGTGAAAGGGTAATCGAAAGAAGGATTGTGAGCGAAGACTGGAAGAAGTTGCTGCGCTTTTGACGGCCGTGCTGCTGACTGCTTGGCGCAAAGGTTGCGATACTCTAGAGAATTTGCTCGACGAGAGCAGATCACTCGAGGCGGACGACCCCCGCCTGATATGGGAGAGACTTGTACAATGTGTGACGCCAGTGGTCACAGAACAGTTCGATGCTCTCGCACAGGATAACATAGCTCCTCGACGGCAATAAGGAGAGAATAACAGGATAGAAAAAAAGAGCGCTCCACGTGGGACGGACCTCAGCACAGCAATGGACACAGATTCAAACAAAGGACATCACGGACCAGATCGCGTTCATGGCGGACTTGTCTGCGCGCGCCTGTCTGTTGGACTCACCAAAATCGTTTCCGTTCAGAGGTCAAGGGGTGTATTTTGCTGTGTGTTGTACAGCACTTGGGAGCACTTGACTTGAAGGGACTGTCCCACGGTGTCAAGACCAGCTGTGACCACCGGCACTGTCAAGCCACCTGAACCGAACTGACTGGCTATGTAGATGGGGAGGCGGCTACTCTGGATGAACTCATCAACCTAGAACGCGCCCTAACCTCGGGATTACATGATCACACAATTCGTCACTTTCGCAAGGCTCATGCTGACCATTGGGTTATGCTTCTGTGACGTGGCGAGACGACAGCCACCAGACAGGCATCTCGTGTTAGAGGTCCCCTGGTGTCTGACAGTGTCAAAAAATAGCACCACAGTTAAAATTGCTGAAGTCTATTGCTAAAACATATGAAGCCCAGAATTGGCCTCGTTGTCATAGCCTCTTCTTTAGACTTTCTGCTGTTGCTCTTCATACACTAGCATGCACTCTACCGGCAGCTCACAGATAGAGCATGCAAGACAAGGTATTTTATGAGAACATGCGTCCTTACCCTACACACATTCAACTTGTGGTACGATCTCCAAGGGCGTATCGTGATCTTGGAGATTGGTTAGAGCTTGGCCTGGCAAGCAAGACCAAGGACACCAAACCTTTTACCAAGCATCAGCTGTACAATTTGGTTGAATGCAAACCCCATCTGCCACAAGTAATGCCACAGGCACCCTGCCTTGGCTGTTCCCCGCTTGCAATGGCTGTGGTTGCAGCACACGGGCAACCAGAGGGCTTTCCGCAGGCACCGCACTGCTCTCAGGCATCGCCCCTCCATTCCCTTGCAGCAAAAGGGAGAGGCCGTCAGAATAAGTCTTATCGGATTGAGATTCTCCTTTTAACATAGCTGTATCACGGGCAGCGTAGTTCTCACGATCGTGGCCTTGGCTTTGGTTTTGGCGATGGTGGTGTTGGTGCCAGGGGGAGCGGTGGCCGTGTAATCTGCTTGCAGCAGCTGCTTCACTGGAAGGCAGAGGGATGGTCGCTGGGGGTGTTTCTGTGACAGCAGATGCTGTGATAATGATTGTTGACCTGCTGCTGTTGCCTGCCCTTTCCTTCCCACTCGTTTGACCACGTAAAGTTGCCTGCTCTGCGCCCAAACTGTAACCATCCCCATCATCAGACTCGGAAATATCACTCGAGGCAGAAAACGCAGCAGCAGAAGCTCCCGCTGCTGCGTGGCTGCTGGCACTGCTCCCCATGCTGCCATCACCAGGACCAGTACTGCTATCACCATCAGAATAATCACCGTAACCACTGCTGTAACTGTCGTCTGCACCGTACCCATCATCAACATCACCTCCTGCTGCTGCTCCATCGCCCCATCCCTGGCTCTCAACGCTCTTGCCCTCCACACCACCACTCGGACTCATCTTCGTGCCCTTCATCCTTCCTCCACTCCCTCCTGTCTGTCCCCCCTCTCCCAATCCTCCTGCCCCCCCACTCCCTTCTCCCCCTACCCCCTGCAAGTGTGTGTCTACCCGGGGTTTCATGCGATTCGGCGTGCTGCTCCCCCCTCCTCCTCCCCCCGCTCCTGTGTTTCTCCCCCCTCCCCCGCCCTTGTTCCCAGGGGAGGTGTTATCCATGGATGGGGGATCACGAGGCCGCATGGAGCGTTCAGGGGAAGAGGAGGGGGAGGGGGGACGCTCAGGGGCGGGGTTAAGCGAGGGCTTGGGGGAAGGCTTGGGGGAAGGCTTGGGGGAAGGCTTGGGGGAAGGCTTGGGGGCAGGCTTGGGGGCAGGCTTGGGGGAAGGCTTGGGGGAAGGCTTGGGGGCAGGCTTGGGGGAAGGCTTGGGGGAAGGCCTGGCAGAAGGCTTGGGGGAGGGCTTGGGGGACGGCTTGGGCGTAGGCTGGGGGGAGCGGTTTGGGGGATGGGGGGAAGGCTTGGGGGAGGGTCGGCGGGAGGTGGGCTTTGGCAAAGGTCGAGGAAAGGGCCGAAGGTTTAGCTTGGGGGGTGCTTGCGGGGAGGGTTTGGGGAGAGGGCGGGGTGAGGGGCGGGGGAAAGGCTGGGGGAAGAGTGCGGGGGAGGGGGAAGGGGACTTGCGGGGGGGTGATGGGTTGTTCTTGCGTGGTGGGCGGGGGGTGGGGATGGGGGTCGGGATGGGGTTGTGGGTGGGGGAGGGGGAAGGGGAGGGCTTGCGGGGAGGCTTGCTGGTGGTGGGTATCTTTGGCTTGGGTGACTTGGATGGCATGGGCGAGCGAGAAGGAGAGCGAGAGGGAGAGGTGGAAGGCGAGCGGGAGGGGGACGTGGGGAAGGGGGCTTTGGAGGGAGGGCGAGAAGGGGGCTTTGAGGGTTTGGGCGGAGAGGGGGGCGCGGAGGGGCGGGGGGGTTGCAGCGAGGGCTCCTGCAACAGCTGGTGGTAGAATAGGTCTGCCCAGATGTCCGGCACGCCAGGCTGGCACCAGTGTAGACAATCAAAATAGCGCGTCTGGTGTGGGGCGGATGGGTGGGGATGATGGGCGTGACAGCAGGGGATGATGTGATGATGATGTGGGGGGATGTGGTGACAGCAGGGGAGTGAGGTAAGGAGAGAAGTAGTGGGCTAAGGAGAGAGGAAGAGTGAGGGAGTGCGAGGGGATGGATGCAGAGGGGAGGAGAGGAGAGGAGAGGAGAGGAGAGGAGAGGAGAGGAGAGGAGAGGAGAGGAGAGGAGAGGAGAAGAAAGAACAAGAACCCTTCTCTCCATGCAGCACTCAGCCTTAGTTATCCTCCCCTTCTCCTGTAATCACCATCTGAAGGACCATCCGAAAGAGAGAAAAAAAAGCACAGAAAGGAAAAGGAAGGATACCGTCTGCACAGAAACCCCGCAACAGAAACTACCGTCCTTCCCCAGCCCGTCCTTTCCCCCCCCCGCCCTTCATACCCCTCACCCCTCATCCCTCACCCCTCGCTTCACCTTGCCAGTGGCGCTCGACCAGTTGCCCACGTGCGCCTCGGGGCGCATGGCGGAGATGCGCGCAATGTCCAGCAGGCGCACCGCGCCCCCCGGGGGAAAGGCCGCGCGCTGCATGGGCAGGAAGCGCGACAGCTGCACGTTGTTGCGCTCCATGCGCGCTACCTGAGGGGGAGAGAGGGGGGGGGGGGGTGAAATGAGGATTGTAAGGGATGGAGGGTTGGTGGTGAATGCGGAAGAAGGAATGTGCAACTTAGGAATATGTGTGGCGGTATGTGCCTTTTCCCGTCCTTGCATCATGCTGCCTTGCATGTTACCCCCCCGCCGCACGAAATCCGAGTCTCAAAACTCCGTCTCATTCCCCGTCACAGACCCGCCGCATCATCCCTTTCCCCTTCTGCGCGCACCTCTTTCCGAGTGAGCACGTGGCCGGGCGACCCGCAGAGCCCCGGTCCGCCGAGCTTCTTGGCGTTGTGCTGCGGGGACGCCGTCATGAAGAACGCTAGAGGACCACCGCGCCTGCTACTACCCCCCGCCGCTGATGCAGCCGCTGATGCTGACGATGCTGCTACTGCTGCTGATGATGACGACGACGGTGATAGTAATGATGATATTGAAGTGGACGGCGATGGGGTTGTAGTAGAGGCAAGGCCGCGTGCCGGCGTGCTCGCGCTGCTGCTGTCACGCGCATCACCATCATTATCACCGTCAATCTCATCCGTGTAACCGTATGCGCCGTCGTCCACGTCAGCCTCGGCGGCATCCGCGTCGGCGAAGAACGTCGAGGGCGCGCTGGGGGAGGAGGAGGATGTGACTGCGGCGCGCGGAGACTCGAACAGCCGCCGGATTGTCTGCATCGCCTTGCTGTGCGCGCAAGAGAGTGGTGGGGGGGTGGGGGGAAGGTGGGGGTAAGGAGATGAGAAGGGAGGGGCGCTCAGAGGCAGAAGCGGAGAGAGGCGGAGAGGCATAGCGCTGATGAAGGCCACCGGCCGAAACGCGCGTACGCTCAGGTTTGAATGAAGATTTCTTACCTACTCAGTCCCTACTAGCCTATAGCTCAGCCTAGAGAAGATTAGGACGAGTTACCTGTTGGATCCAGGTCGAAACTATTTCCACAGGCAGAAGCGGAGAGAGGCGGAGAGAGGCATAGCCTGAATCCACCTCGCTCGCACCTCCCCACTGGAGGAGAGCAGTACCGCCGTCTAATCTGGTCCGTGTGCCGGGACTTGCGGGACAGGAGGAGCGGGCAGGATTCGACATGTGTCCAATCTGGTCCGTGTGCCGTCTGTTACCATGCGCGCAACCTCACCGCACTACTTGATACTCGAAAACGATTAAGGTACCTTGCGCCCTACCTGTACCCCTTGCGCCCATCCCGCCCCCCTTGCGCCCATCCCGCCTCCCCTTGCGCCCATCCCGCCTCCCCTTGCGCCCATCCCGCCCCTCTTGCGCAGTACCTGTACCCCTGGTACGCGTCCACCCCCGGCAGCACGCGCCAGTCGCGCCCAGTGATAGCCATGGCGGATGCCTTCTTAGTGCGCAGCGTGCGCCAGTGCGTCGCGGTCTCCAGCACCACCAGATCTACCGCCCCCAGAAGCGCCGCCCATTGCGGGTTCGCCGTCTGCACGTCGATCGCCACGTCCTCCGGGCCCGCCTCCGCCGCGCTGTACCGCGGAACCAGCCGCGTCAGCATCGATTTGTCTGCGCGGAACGGGGGAAGCGAGAGGGGCGGGGAGAGGTTGGCGATTGGGTGGCGGAGGTCGGAGCAGCGGAACGCGATGGTAGGAAGGGGGAAGGATTGCAAATTTAAGAACACTTCAAGTGTTAACCTAACAACACAATTTCCCACAGTGCGCGATGGCCGCCCCCCTCACCCTGCGTCACGCGCATGAGATAGTCGTCCCAGATCCCCACGATCCGCCCGCCGACCGCGGGCACGCGGTAAATCCGCGCGTCCAGCTGCGGAGAGCGCTGCCCCAGCGGCCCGCGCGGAAGCAGGTGGCGCGTGGGCGCGGAGACGGCGGTGACTGCGCGCAACTGGCAGAGGATGGCGGGGAGGAAGTTGGCGATGGCGATGGAGTCGCCGATGATCGCCAACGTGCGATTGGCGAGTATGCGAAGGAAGCCCCTGCGACGAAGGAACGTGTGCGATCCGCACAGCGTGCGGGGAGTTGGGTTACGCGGCGCCGTGTGGGACGCGTGGGAAGCGACAGGGATCTTGAGACAAGTGATAAAACCATGCTTCTGAAAAGCGAGCCGACAAAGGCAGAAGGGGAACGGGCTAAAGCCCGAGAAAGGACAGTGGGAACTAACGGGTAGTCACAGCGGCATCGGGCGCACGCGCGCATCAAGCGCAATAGCAGCCGGATACGAGCGCACCGTTTGCGCCAACCCGGAACGCGGCAAAGTAAGTGGGTGATACTGGACTAATCGGACTAGTCGCACGGATTCGCAGTGGCGAAGGCAGGTAGTGCCTTTGCGTCGCGCACCTGGAGTTGAAGCGGATGAAGCGGCGGCACGACGTGGAGTACCACGAGTGCCGCACGTACGACGAATCGCGCCGGCCATTGCGCTTGCACCGCGTCAGACCGAACTGCAAGGGAGGGGTTAGGAGAAGGTTGGGGAGAGGAGGGGGGAGGGAAAGGGTAAGGGGCAGTTGATCTTGAAGGTTGGGTGTTGCGCTGGTCGCAAGAAGGGCGCGGCAAGGGAGCGAGGCGTTGACGCGGGAGATTAGAGATGTCTCTTACAAGAACGACGCTGGACGCGCTGGACGCGTTGGACGCGGAGTTGGAGCTTCACAGCTGCATGCTGCGCAACGTGAGCGACGGCATCAAGAACCGCTGAGATCCTCCACGAGAAAGACGCAGCAGCAGCCTCGACGATTAAAATGTTCTGAACAGCTTAAACTGAGGCGTCTCGCAAACATGTTTTTACGAAAATTACATCCTTGGTTTGCCTCCCGATGAAACTCCAGCCTATCGCGCGCTCAGTCAAGCCGTCTATCAGGCTCGCTCCTACGCTCTCATCATGCTCCCATCACCGCGACTATGAACCCCCTTTTTCGCCAAAGAAACGCGTCACCGCTGCCACCACTGTACCAGCGTACGCGCGCTGGTTTTCCGCCTATGGCAGGTGCGCCAGTGCCGCCGCGGAAGCATGTGCAGGGGGTTACCGCGCGAACTAGCGCAGAAAAAAAAAACGTACGAGGTAGGGGCAGGAGTCGTCGTAGGGCGGGCGCGCGAAGTCAACGACCCATTGACCTTCGAATATGTCGCACTGGCTGCTCCGCGCTCCCGACGACGCGCGCACTTCCCCTTGCTGCTTGCCCTTGCGGGAACTCCCCCCCTTGCCGCTACTCTTGCCCACACTGTTCTCCCCCTTCCTGCCGCTTCCCCCGCTACCGGCGCTGCCGCAAAGCGCAGGTGCTACGACGAGTATAAGCAGCAATATCAGAAGAGACGGAATCGCTGCGAAAGTCGCTCGTCTACCCGTACGACGTCGCATGGGGTCGCTAGAACGGATGTCATCGTCATGATGGTGGTGTCTGTACCGTCCCGTCTGCCTATCAACCATTTCAACTGCCTGCCGCGGGCAGCCTGACGATTTTCATTGCTGGCGAACGAGTTTGTGCACGACAAGGAGAGCAAGGAAAAGCGCTTACTCGACTGCTCTAATATCGCGAAAGATACGCCACTCGACTTTACTGATGCGTTGTTCAGTAGTTCTCAGATGATGAGGGTCGACTTCTACGTTTTTGGCCCTGAAGAAAGTAGTGAACTAGCAACCGTAAGTGGATAAAGCAGCAAAGCAGCGCCTTGCTATGGGGGTGTGTGTTAAGGATAAGAAAGGCAAATTGGAGAAGCTCTCAAGCGCCACACAGGCGCGAAACGAAATGGAAAATGGACAATGGTGCCGGCATGTGGGTTTGTTTCTGGAGCAAGAGTCGTTTTTCCACATCCACAACATACCTACTGCATCAAGGTTTTCTCACAGTATAGCTCAGAGAAGAGAGCTGGGGGTGGAGGAGGTGATGGGGGAAGAATGGATGCGAGAAACTTGAGAGAAATGGCGCCGCGGAAATTGAAATTTACGAGGCGCGACCTCATGCATCTAGAAGAAATGTCGGCTGGGCTCCCGCCAAATTATTGTGGATGGTAACCATCCCACCGGCGAAAAAAAAACCAGCCGTCTTCTGGAGTTGATTGGGTGGGGACGGACATGACGCTGGCCCACTTGCGAACGGAAAATGGTCGGCGGATGACCGTTTTCCAGTCCAAATTTCAACTCGGTATTATGTGACGACAACGAGTCGGTTACAGAACGAATTTGCGTTACCATACAAAAGTGCAAATTCAGAAAGCATGCATAGTGGTGCCATGTAATGATGTTACATGGATGTGCCAATCTTGATGCTAATCACGGTGTGATTAGGGACAACGAGAAGATACCTACAGCGCAAGTGCATGCGAAAATGTACTCATTTTCCCACAGTTGGAAAATGCTCCGGCTCAGACCAAACACACCCTGCGATGCCACCCTCAGCTACCCCTGTTCCACAACCACTCACTTCCCTCCCTTTTTCTTATCCCGGACCATCTTATTGAGCCCCGGGGCCGTGATCTTAGCATTGGACATCATTGCAGACACCAGGTCCGGGAGAGGTACGGCCTTGATGAGCTCCCTCTCCCGCGCTGACAGGTCCGGCGAGCGCAAGAAGAGGTCCACTGCTTGCTTGACAGCTGGATGGCACATGACACATGGCACATGGCACACGGCACACGCATGACATGTGATACATGGCACATGGCATGACACATGATACATGGATGACACATGACACATGATACATGGCACATGAAACATGACACATGGCACATGACGCATTGCAAACGGTGCACACATGGAAGAGAGGAGAGATGAGGAATTGGTGAGAAGAACGGGTGAGTGAGGGAGGAATTGTGGTGAGTGAGAGAGCCGGGAACAGGAAAAACGACGGGAGATTGGAGGTATCGGTGTGGGACCAGTCTACTTATGACTGCAAGACACCTGGACAGAACGAGATGGAGCAGATGGGCGCAGGCTTTGACACTCTACACCAAGGTGCCAATACCGTGTCAAGGAGGTGTCAAGGTGCGGAGCCATCCAGCAGATTCTCATGAGGTATCGGTGCGCCCTCAGTTGAATGGCCCCGAAAATACAGAAGCAACAAAAGGCTCCCAAACCCTCTTCTGTGTCCGTACGAACAAACGCCAGGCAGGAAAAAAAGCACCAATGCACCTACCCCTCAAGCCAACACAACTCTCACCTTTGCCCTTCTTAAGATGGCCTGGCGTGACCTTGACCCGGTACTTGAAATTCGCGAGAGCGTTCACAGGGCCGCACACAGGCATGGCATACAGCAGCACATCGGAGGGCAGAGGCACGCCCGTGAGTGAGTCGATCTCTGTCAGCCGCTCCCTCTCCTCCTCCCCCACCTCTGCCACTTCTTCCTCTGCCAGAATCGCCTCTACTTCCGCCTCCTCTGCCCGCGCCCGTGCCCGCCGGCTTAGCTTCTCCCCACCCTCCGCCTCTCTCCCTCCTCCTCCCTTCTCTCCTCCTTCCAATTCCTTTTCGCCTGCTGTTGCTGCTCCTCCGCTTCCTGTGGTTTCATGTGAGCCACGTGCCTCCTCCCTCCCTGTTGCATCTGAATCCAGTTGAAGCTCCTCCTGTGCCACCACACCCTGCTCTTCCCCACTGGCAAGCGCATTGCTTTCCCCAACACTTGTCAACTCTGACTGAGCGGAATCATCTCCTGTCGCCCCGCCAGTCCCTCCTCCTGCTGTTCCTGTTGCATTGCCCCCTTCGATCTGCTCCACTCCTCCCTTGCTCAAATCACTGGCACCTTCACCAGCACCACCAACAGCACCACCAGCAGCACCAGCAGCAGCAGCATCAGCATCAGCATCAGCATCAGCAGTGCAGTCCTTGGCTCGGTGCCCCTTGCCCTTGCACTTGAAGCACACCAACTCACTCAATGCAGAGCCTCCACCCTTGCCCTTGCCACCCCCACCACCACCACTAGCAGCACTGGGAGCAGCAGCAGCGGCAGCAGCACCACCACCTTTTCCGCCCTTGCCTGCCCCCTTTTTTTCCTTGTTGCCTGCAGACTGGGGGAATTAGAGAAGAGGGCAGGGGGCGGGATTGGGAGATGAGGGAACGAGAGGAAGGTGGCAGGAGGAAGAGACACAGAGTAGGCAGCATGAACAAGAAGGCTGATGAAATATTTTTCCAAACCCATATTTGTTTCTATGGAAGATTGGAGGGGGAGATATGGTGAAGTGGAGCACTGCCGCGCTTGTAAGGGCTCCTGATTGTGAAAACGAAAGAAGGCAAAACTAGGTGAAATCAAGCTCTTGTTGTGAGGAAGAGTGAGCGACAGAGTGACCAAGGGGAAAGCGGATATTGGGTTATCACGTTACTTGTTAAAATGTTATTACCATCTTGCGTACTTACCCCCAGCAAGGCCAGTCGAAGCTGCCTCTCCTCCTCATCTTGATCCGCATACTTGCTCTGCTGCTTCTTGCTCTGCCCTCTCTTGCCCCGAGCTCCCCTAACCGCCTCGAAACCCCCCTTCCCTCCTCTCCCCTGTGCCTGTCCCTGCTCCTGCTCCTGCTCCTGCTCATCTACCCCCTTCTTCCCACTCCCTCCTTTCCTCCCACCCTTCCCTCGCTTGCCCCTCCCCATCTCTTCCCCTTGTTCCTCCTCCTCCACCTCCTCCTCCGCCACTTCCTCCCTCTTCTCCACTCCCCCTCCTCCTACACCAGCTTCCCTCTCCTGCCCCTCTCCACCTCCTTCCCCTCTCCCCCCTCCCTTCTTCATCCTCCTCCGCTCAGCTCGACTCACATACGCCCTCTCCCTCCTCTGCCCTCCGCCCCTCCCACCATCACCATCCCCTCCGGTCCTCTCCCTGTCACCCCCATCCTCCCCCTCATCCTCATCTCCGCCCCCCTCCCCTGCCACACCAACGTCTTCCAGACCATACTTAGCAGCAGCAGATACGCCAGAAGATGAGCTCCCAGTCTGCCCTCTCCCGTCTGCTTTCCGTTCACCACCCTGCTTCTGCTGTGCTGTATCCGCACCTGAGCCCGAGCCTCTCTTGGCTCGGCCCGTGCCTCCAGCTCCCCCCACTGACAGCACCGCATCAAGCATATAATCAAGACCCCCCTCCTCCTCTTCCTCTCCCTCCTCCTCCTCTTCCTCTCCCTCCTCCTCTATCTCTTCTTCCTCCTCCTCCTTCTCTGGTGCTCCGCTTTCCTTCTCTGCTTCCTTCGCTTGCTTCTCCGTTTCCCGAACCCCCCCTCCACCCTCTTCATTCATTCCCTCGACAGCAGTAGCACCAACCACTCCCCCCTCTCCCTCCTCGTCCAATACCCCTTCCCCTTCCCCGTCCTCTTCCCCTTCTTCTACCCCAGCCGCCATGCCACCTGCCGCCTCTCCCCCTCTTCCCCCTCCTCTCTTCCCCACCGCCCCCCCGTCCCCTCCCTCCCCCTCCTCCCCCCCTCCGCGCACCCTTCTCTCCCCCAAATGCGCCCCTAGACAGCTCTCATCCACCCGAAACACAAACCCAAACGCCATCTGCAGTGGCACGGGCGGAAGGAAATTCTTCTTCCCTCGGATCATGAATGATCCAACGGTCAGATACTCGCCAGTTGGCGCTGTTTTAGTGACCTGATTCGGGTACACCCACCAGGCGCTAGTTACCACTTTGGAATCCCAGGCGGCGGATAGGCAGACGGTGGCTGCGCCGGCTTGTGCGAGGGTGAGAGGGGGGATGGGTGCTAGGCCGTGCTGGTCTGTGTTTCGAATGATTGTGCTTGCTGCCCCGTGCAGATCCGCGTGTATGTAGCTGGGAGGGGGGAGGGAGAGAGAGGGGGGAAGTGGCATTTGAGTACACTCAGAGGTCATTGCGAGGGTGAGAGGGGGGATGGGTGCTAGGCCGTGCTGGTCTGTGTTTCGAATGATTGTGCTTGCTACTCCGTGCAGATCCGCATGTATGTAGCTGGGAGGGGGGAGGGAGAGAGAGGGGGGAAGTGGCATTTGAGTACACTCAGAGGTCATTGCGAGGGTGAGAGGGGGGATGGGTGCTAGGCCGTGCTGGTCTGTGTTTCGAATGATTGTGCTTGCTACTCCGTGCAGATCCGCATGTATGTAGCTGGGAGGGGGGAGGGAGAGAGAGGGGGGAAGTGGCATTTGAGTACACTCAGAGGTCATTGCGAGGGTGAGAGGGGGGATGGGTGCTAGGCCGTGCTGGTCTGTGTTGCGCATGATTGTGCTTGCTGCCCCGTGCAGATCCGCGTGTATGTAGCTGGGAGTGGGAAAGAGAGAGGAAGGGACGAGTTGGGGGAAAAGGGGGGTATAAGAGAGGGGAGGGGGAGAGGGAGGGAAAGGAGGGGGGAGGGAGGGAGGGAGGGAGGGGAAGGGGAGGGAGGGAGGGGAGGTGGGGAGGGGTAAGGTGGGGTTGTGGGAGTATGCTATAAATGCTTTAAAAGGAGTTGGAACACGCATGGTGCTCAATGCACCATGCAGATCCGCATGCACGTAGCAACAAGGGGGAGAGAGAATGGGCGGAAGTGGGTGGAAAGGGGGATAGTGGGGGAAGGGGGCAGTAGTGGGGGAAGGAGGCAGTAGTGGGGGAAGGGGGCAGTAGTGGGGGAAGGGGGCAGTAGTGGGGGAAGGGGGCAGTAGTGGGGGAAGGGGGCAGTAGTGGGGGAAGGGGGCAGTAGTGGGGGAAGGGGGCAGTAGTGGGGGAAGGGGGCAGTAGTGGGGGAAGGGGGCAGTAGTGGGGGAAGGGGGCAGTAGTGGGGGAAGAAGGCAGAAGTGGGGGAAGGGGTTGGTGGTAGGGGAAGAGAAAACGGGCAGCACGGAGAGGACGAGTGAGGTGGGGAGGGGGGAGGGGGAGGAGCAGCGGATAAAAGGAGAGCATCGAGGAGATGAGGGAGGGCGGGGGGGGGGGTTGGAGGGGGTGGAGAAGGAGTGTGTGAACGGGAAACAGGTGTGGGTTGGATGGGAAGTCACCATGAGTGTTTCATACAGAGCAGGTTATAACATATGAGTCTCATTGGTTTCTTGCAAAGAATCACATCACGGAAAAACAGAAAAAACGGAGGAACAGTGCACGAATTGACCGATGGGGCAAAGAGGGGAAGTGGGACGGGTAGGGGAGGGTGAAGGGTGGGGAGAAGGAGACGTGGAAAGTAGTGAGCGGGAGAGGAAAGTAGAGGAGGTATGATACATGGTGGAATGGGGGTCAGGAGAGGAATGAGATGAAGATAGGAGGAAGGGAGTGTGTGTGTGTGTGTGTGTGTGTGTGTGTGTGTGTGCGTGTGTGTCTGTGTGTGCGTGTGTGTCTGTGTGTGAGTGTGTGTGTGTGTGTCTGTGTAGGGCAAGGTAGGTGGAAAAAGAAAGGACCCACCCACCACCCACCCTCCCACCCACCCACCCACCCACCCACCCACCCACCCGCCCACCCACCCACCCATGTGCCCATCTGCCTAAGCAAGAGCACTCACAGGTCCCCGCGGCGCATGTAGCGCTTGACGAGCATCTCGTTCTGCTGCGCGTCCCTGCCGCTGATGACCAGGTAGTTCTCGGAGGAGATGAACCAGTGGAAACGCTCAAACCAGTGCACCTTGCGCATGTGCTGCACTGTCGCCGCCACTTTGGCCTGGAGTGCGATACGGGGGGGTGCAATGCGGTGAGGTGGGGTGGGGAGCGGAGCTGGTGAGTTGAAACCAGAGATCACGAGGTAGTTCTCGGAGGAGATGAACCAGTGGAAGCGCTCGAACCAATGCACCCGCCACATGTGCTGCACCGTCGCCGCTACCTTCACCTGAAGCGCGGTGCGGGGTTAGGGCAATGAGGGGGAAGGGTTAGTGGTTGAGTGAGGGCAGGCGTGTGGAGGAGAGAAGGGAGGGTAAGGGGAGTAGGGGCGAAGGGAGGAGAGGGAAGAAAAGCTCCTGATTTGACTGTTAAGACGCCTCAGAACAGTTTTGTTTTCAAGGCACGTGAGAACAATGTGAGAGCGAGTGGCAGCAGCTTACCTGGGCGAGTGGCAGCAGCTTACCCATGCGAGTGACAGCAGCTTACCTGTGCGAGCTGCTGGGAGGTCTTGGCGTGGGCGGCCTTGAGTGCAGTCTCGTGCGCGGCCTCCGTCTTGTTGCGCTTCTCCTGCTGCTTCTTGCGCGACTGGAACCACATGCGCGCATTGGCGTACGCTGACAAGGAATAGTCCACCTCCACCTGTGGCGGAGGGAGGGATGGTTGTGGGAGGGGGGAGGTTTGGTGGGTGAGGGAGGGAGGTGGGGGTTATGCGATTGAGAGCACAGGGTGGGTGGGGGAGCATTGACGTACGCTGACAGGGAATAGTCCACCTCCACCTGTGGCAGAGGGAGGGATGGTTGTGGGAAGGAGATGGGGAGGGAGTGTGAAGGGTGGGCGCGACTGGAACCACATGCGCGCATTGGCGTACGCTGACAAGGAATAGTCCTCCTCCACCTGTGGCGCAAAGCGAGGGAGGAGGGACGGGAAGGTGGGCGGGTGGTGGTGGGAGGGGGGGCGAGGGAGGGGGGAGGGGAGCGGGAGAGGCATTGAGGAGTGAGGGAGTGCGTGGTGCGGGAGTGCGTGGTGCGGGAGTGCGGGAGTGCGGGAGTGAGAGGAGGACAGTGCAATCAAGAGCATGGGGTGGGTGGGGCAAGTGTTGGCGTATGCTGACTGAGAGCCTTTACTCCAACTCCACCAGTGCAAAGGGATGGGTGCGGGAGTGAGGGAAGAAGGGGGGGATTGTGGGAAGGAGTTTCGGGTCTATTTTTGAGTCGACTCAAATAGTGGGATTGTTCCGAGCACAAAGGAGTTTCGGGTTTAGGGTTCATTGTCAATCGAACCTCCTCCCCCTCTTTCCCCCCCATTCCCCCTTTCCACCCCGTCCTCCCCACCTCCTGCCTCTTCTCCCCTCTTTCCCCTCGTCCTTGCACAACCCCCCTTCCCGACCACATCCCTTACACCACACCACAACCACCACCACCCCTACCACCATCACCACTCACCAGAGCAGCAGGGGCGGTGCGTTTCTCATCCTCCATGCCGTCCAGATCGGGCGGCGTGAGCAGCACCACAATGCGCCCCTTACAATGTGCCCTCTGCCCTTCCGTCCCTCCACAACCCCTCCTCCCAACCACCACCCCTACCACAACAACCACAACCACCACCCCTACCACCAGCACCCACCAGAGCAGCAGGAGCCGTCCGCTCCTCATCCTCCATGCCGTCCAGATCAGGCGGTGTGAGCAGCACAGCAATGCGCCCTCTGTCCAAATGCAGCGCCGCTATAAGCGCCGCCACCGGGTTCCCAGCCCGCCGCTCCTCCTTCACCATCGCCGCCAGGTCCTGCCAATCCATGCCGCCCGCCAGCGCCTCGCGCACCGCCAGGATGGCTGCGTCCACGTCAGCGAGGTTCTGCTCGATGAGCCGCGCCTTGTGCTCTGCCACGTCAACCTCCTGCTGCAGCTGCTGCGCTCGCTTTTGCTGTTGTGGGGTGGGGGAGGGGGTTGGTGGGGAAAAGAGGGGAGGGGAGGAGGGGAAGGGGGGAGAGGGGAGAGGGGGGGAGTGTTAGGAAGATAGGGTAAAGAATGAGCCGTGCCTTCTGCTCTGCCACGTCAACCTCCTGCTGCAGCTGCTGCGCTCGCTTTTGCTGTGGTGGGTAGGGTAGGGGTTCGGGAAATAGAGGGTTGGGGGGAAAGAGATGGTGAGGGGAGAGGAGAGGGGATGAGAGGGGGAGTGTTGGGGAGATAGGGTGGTGATTGAGCAGGACCAAAAAACAAGAACGTTAGGGCAGGAGACGCATTCTGAGGCGCCTCAAATGAGATAAGGGCAGGAGCAGGAGCACGAGCGGGAGCACAAGCGGGAGCAGGAGGGGGAGGGGGAACGGGAGCGGGAGCGGGAGCGGGAGCGGGAGCGGGAGCGGGAGCGGGATGGGGAGGGGGAGAGGAAGCGGGAGCGGGAGAGAGCAAGACACCAGTAAAACATCCAACCAGAGAACTTTGAACAGATCATCAGCATCAGCGTCAGCATCAGCATGCACTGGGAATGCTGGGTGTGGCCTGACCTGGTCAGCCCTGATCCTCTCCAGCTTGCTCGCAGCCTGCTTCTCTGCCGCGGCCCTCTGCTGCATGGCCCTCTGCCCCTCGTACCGCGCAAAGAACTCATCCATAGCGCCATCAAACGTCTCAAACTCACGCAGCCCCAGACTCTTACCCTCCCCGCCATCCCCCCACCTCTCCCTCCCTCCTTTGCTCCCTCCTTCTCCCGCTGCCGCTGCAGCTGCCCCTGCGGCTTCTGACTCTCCTCCTTCTCCTTTTCCCTCTCCTCCACCACCTCCTCCTCCTCCAGCACGTGTCACCTCGCCTGCAGCAAGCTGCAGTTGGCGCAGAGCCAAGGGCCAGAACTCCTCATACACCACGTCATCCTCTTCCTTCTCCTCACCCTTACCTGCTCCTTCCCCCTGCCCTGCCCCCTGCTCATCATCCTGCTCTTTCCCGTCAGCCTCTACCCCTTTGGGCTCAGCTGCGCTTCCATCACCGGCTTTCTTGGCTTCAAAATGCTGCTTCTTCTCCCCCCTCTGCCGCCTCCTATGCGGCTGCTGTGACTGCTGCTGCTGCTGCTGCTGCTGCTGTCGCTGCTGCTGGTGCTGTTGCTGCTGCTGGTGTTGCTTCTCGCGGCGTAGCAAGATGTAGCCTTTCGGAATGACCTTCATTTGAGTCACATTCACGAGCCACTCCTCAAACGCACTCGCTGCTGCCACAACTTTCGCTACTATCACCTCCTCCTTGCACTGCAAACCACCCTTCCCCACCATAACACCACCATCACCACCATCACTCTCAGCAGGTTTTGCAGCAGCACCATCAGCATCACCATCAGCAGCAGCGGTTGCAGCAGCTGCCTCCATTCCTTGTCTCACAATATGCTCACAGATGGGCAAGCCATAGCCCAGCACCGATCCCAACCGTTCCTTCAACACTCCCACCCGCTCCTCCCATTCCCCATCCCCCCCTTCCGCACACTCCCCACCCTCCCCTCCCTGCCCCTTCTTCCCCTTCTCCTTCCTCCCCCCCTTCTCCTTCTTCCCCCCTTTACCACCTTTCCCCTTCCCCGCCCCTCCTCCCCCCCCACTCGCCCCGCCCTCCCCCTTCCCCCCACCATCCCCGCTGCTCTTCTCCCCCTCGCCCTCCCCCTCCCCCGCCTCCCTCCCATGGCCTTCCGCGCCCGCCACTGGCGCTTCCCCCAGAAGCGCCTTGGTGAGCGCGGAGGGGGAGGAGAGAGTGAGGGGGCGGAGGGAGGAGAGGGGGTAGGGGTGGTTGGGCATGATGGCTATGCCCTTATCGTCGTCCCTGCAAAGAGGCAGGGCACAGAGGGACAAGAAGAGGGGTAGCAGGTAAACTTTTGAGACATCTCAAACTACGAGAGGGGGTAGGGGTGGGTGGTTGGGCATGATGGCTATGCCCTTATCGTCATCCCGGCAGTGCAAAGGGGCAGGGCACAGGGGAGAGGGGGTAGCAGGTAAGGTTTTGAGACATGTCAAACTACGAGAGGGGGTAAGGGTGGTTGGGCATGATGGCAATGCCCTTATCGTCGTCCCTGCATAGAGGCAGGCAGAGAATAGGGAACAGAGGAAAAGAGAAGGAGACACTTGTTAGAGCTCTTTGAAGTAGATTCAATGCCCTTGTTGTCGTCCCTGCTAAGGGCACGGCACAGGGAACAAGGGAGAGGGGCGGGGGTAGAGGAAGGAAGGAGGGACACGGGGGGTGGGGGGGGGAAGGGAAGGGACGGGTGAGGGGAAAACGAGACAGGGGCGGGGGCGGGGGCAGGGGAAGGGACAGGGGCAGGGATGGAGAAGGAACAAGACAGGGTGGAGGTGAATGCACGGAGAGGCAAGAAGGACGGCGAGGTGAGGTCACGAGGTGGAGATACACCTGTGGGAGCGCAGCAGAGTAAGCACGGAGTAGCAGCTGTCCTTCTTGTGTAACACACTATCAGTTAAGATGACGTTGCCCCCTGCATACAGCTCCTCACCCTCCCCCCGCACACACTCACACACAGACACCGTCCTTCCTCCACCCTCTGCCCCCACACACAAGCACAAACTTCCTGCTCCCTTCAGATCCACCCATGCCCCCCCACTTCCTCCCTCCCCGTTCCCCCGCACACACACGTGCACGGACCTGTGGGAGCGCAGAAGCGTGAGCACGGAATACTGGCTATCAGTGAGAATAACGTTGCCCCCCGCGTACAGCTCCAGCAGCACGTGGTGCGCTGACTCGCCCGTGCCAAACTTGAAATCCACCACCTGGTGCGATGGAGTGCGGTGCAGTGCAGTGGAGTGGTTTGCAATGGATTGCCGTGCAATATCGTATCAGCAGTGCCATGTAAAGCACACAGGAGGTGGGTGATGAGTGGGGCCGGGGGGTGGTGTGGGGTGCGGAGAGGTGGGGTGGGGTGGGAGGAGCGGGGGTGAGATGAGATGGGTGAGAATTGGCTCTCCAAACAGCCACTCCCCCCTACATGTGGTAGCAGATTCTGGGCGTGCATTTTCCTGCTCATTCCAATCTGCTTCTGAAACATCTCATAAAAAATCCTCCCAGCAAGACAGCCTTTCATTGTGGTACAGGCCTCGGAGCCTAGGGTTTCGGGTTTGGGTCTAGGGTACGATCACGGGTGCATGAAAAATGTGTCTCGGGTACAGGTGTACAGTGCAGAGTAGAGGGTTTAAGGTGTATAAGGGTTTAGAATAAGGTCTGGGAAATTACCCTATCAATTCCAATCTGGGAGATGTCCTCAAGGCGGCGAGTGCGAATGTGCTTCCTCAGCTTGAGTGTGAACCCTGACGGCGTCACACTCTTGTCCCTGCAGCCAGCAACACCACATCCCCACCACACACCGACCCACCATCACAGCACCACCGGCATGCATAGCACATTGCACATAGGCAGGAAATTTGCACAGGAATCGAAATGATAATTGAGAGGGCCGAGAGAGGGGAGGAGAAAGAGCCGGGGAACGAGTAGGGGAACGAAGAGGAGGGGGGAGGGAGGAGGGAGGAGGCGAGAACATGGAAAGAGCAACGGGTATAGGAAGAGGAGAACGGCAGCATCTCAGCAGCAGCAGCAGCAGCAGCGGCGGCAGCAGCAACGGCAGCAGCGGCAGCAGCGGCGGCAGCAGCGGCGGCAGCAGCGGCAGCGGTAACACCTGGCGAAGTTGGTGGTGTGAACGCACATGCCACTCTCAAGAAGAACCTTCTCGCTCTGCCCGCCTTTTGAGGCGCCTCAAATGTGAGCTGTAGAGGGAATAGTACCTGGCGAAGTTGGTGGTGTGGAATCGCATGCCGCTCTCCAGCAGCAGCAGCACCTTCTCGCTCTGCCCACTCTCCGACACGCCGCTGCTCCTCGCCAGCTTGATCACATACGTCTGTGGGGGTGGGGGGCGAGGGAGATGAGGGGGGAGGGGGGGAGGAGGGGGAGAGAGAGCGTGAGAGCGAGGATGAGGAGGGGGATGAGGACGAGGAGGAGGAGGAGGAAGAGGAGGAAGAGGAGGAGGAGGAGGAGGAGGAGGAGGAGGAGGAGGAGGAGGAGGAGGAGGAGGAGGAGGAGGAGGAGGAGGAGGAGGAGGAGGAGGAGGAGGAGGAGGAGGAGGAGGAACGGGAGAGAGGAGAGAGAACGGAAGGTGCTGAGGGGAGTGCCGATAGTACAACGGAAAAACTGATACGGCAATGATATACGCCTCGGTTTTAGTTGGTCGATACGAATCCAAGGAATGATTCTGAGCCCGACGAGCAGTTACGAAACGGAAGGACACATCACTAGTACTAGATACTGATTCACTTGATCACGAATCCACCCAAGACGGGGGAAGGACAATTACAGTTCTCGTGAACCAAACAAGCAGGTGAGATTCTCCGGGGCAACGGCTACCTTGGGACTCAGGTCGTATAGATTGGCGACTCGGAAACCGATCAACCACTGACGTAGGCATGCCACCTCAGCGGCGATGTCCACCGCAGACATCCGCTGCTTTCCCATGCTGACGTGGACAATCCTTGAAATTCCCTAGATTGGAAACAGACGCAGATTCAGGTGCAATGAAGCTTACAGCGAATCTCGCGACAAGGCAAGATAAGAAGCCAACTGAAACCCAACAGAATCAGCATGATCAGACGATCCTAAAAAAGACTCGATGCTGGACTTTGTAACGGTTGCGTTTAGAGCTGCAGCTACAGCGCTCTGATGGGTATCAAATATTTATAACTCAGAGGAAAGTTAGGCTGGCCAAGAAGGAGCCGAAATTGATTATTTGGAGGGTGTGCTTTTCGTACAGAGAAATCTCGACATAGAGGCAATTGCGAATGACGGTTTCAGAAGGCAATCTTTCATAAATCACAATACCACTAGAATCAGATTATGCTATCAGTATCCTTGTACACTATCTAGGATGTCTCTTCGTCCTGACGACGAGAACCCGAGTTAGGTGACGAACTCAAGGAATTAAATATAGATTTCAGGTCGGGTCGCTTGTCCAAAGCGATAGGAGTAGAGGATGTTGAATCAAGCCTATGCTTCTAAGACATGCAATACAGCCCGGATAAGGAAATGAAACCCCTTGCAACTACATGGTTGTATTCGCTATATGGTGGAGGCCTGTCTTCGTTACAGTTGCTGATGAGTTGTTGAGGTGGAAAGCTACATATCGTGATCTGACGCTACACATCGTGCTTCTGACTAGGAACATCAGGGCGCCACATCAGATTACAATCTCATTGAGCTGCTGGATTCACAGCACCCAATCAGAGGGTCACCATTCTCCATCACAAGCGCTCCGCGTCATTATCTCTTTGCATGTCCCTCACAAGGTCCTCGCTGTGTTGGCAGCGCCAGCTCATCGCGCATCGCTGCACGTGCCATTTCGCCGCTCGTCGTTTCTGTTCGTGTGTGTCAGGTAGGGCAGCAGGCGATGAAGTACAGTAACCCGCATTGCCCCCTCGCCTCCCTCCCCACTTTCTCCTTCGGTACAGTTCTCACCTGCAGCAGCGGAGATTTTCCCGCCCCGCACCGTTGACCCGAGCGAACGCCTGCCTGCCCTTTCCCCGTCCCCTTCCTTCCCCGAGAGAGGCTCTGCGCTGGAGCATTCCCCGACGAGCCGCACCCCGCCCCACCAATTTTCATGTGCGAATCCCAACTTCCAAGCTGAGCTTGCTGCTCCTTATTAGTCGGCTCATCCTGACACGCAATTTATTGGCTACTTATTAGTTCAGATTACGCTATTGGCCCATGTTCACCTAGTTGACATCTCGTTGTACTCCTCCTCGTTTTTTGCCCTTTTTCAACAGCGTCGTCTCAACCGAAAAAAGATTCGTACACACAGCGTTTCCACTGCATCCTGCCATTGAGTTTCGCACGCTTCTCACTTGTCGTGACGTCTTCTCGCTCCACATTTCTCATCTCTCCATCAATCCTCGGCTCTTCCCGTGACTCCCGCTGAGCAAACCTCAACCTTGCGCCGACCGTGTTGGTTCTTTCCCTGCTTGCGGATTGATAGGGCACGACGCCCGCTACTCACTTTTTCGTGCTACTCCACTTCACAGCCTTTCCCCGGCTCGTCTTCTCACGCGCGCTTTCCCCTGTCTTCTCCGCGCGCTCCTCCGCCCGCGCTCCACATCCCCTCTCCGCCTCTGTGCGCATTCCGCTGCGCGCCCGCGCGCCGTGCGCCATGTTTTCCATCTTCGACCGCATCCACTCTCCGCAGCTGCCGGGCGGGCCTCCGCCGAGCGCGCTAGAGAGGTGGGTCGAACCCACTCTGCCGCTCCTCCCGCAGCTTTTCCTTCCGCCTCCCGCGCTCCGGGGATGCCCCGCCACGGTACCGTCCGTCCATTTCAACCACACATCACCCACCCCGACTGCACACCACCCACCCCACTTTCTTTCTTCTCCCCCCGACGCTCACGCTGTTACGTTTCGTGTACTAGCGTTTCCTGTCCTTGTCCCGCTCCCAACTTTCTTTCCCGCACCCGCAAGTCGTACACACTGCCCCGTTCGGTTATGTTTCGGATTCTAACGCGTCTCTGTTATGTCCTGTCTATGCCACATGCCGGGTTGTACACGTGGCAGGAGTTCAGTGGACGATGTGGTGCGCGCTGACTTGGCGCGCGTGAAGGACAACCTGCCGCTGGAATGGAAGAGCCACGTGGAGGAGCACATTCTCGACGGCGCCGCGTTCGGCACCATTCAGAACCATCCACGTGTCAGCTGGGCAGAGCACCGCGCTCCCGAGTGAGTGGAGCCGTGCTCGTCGCAAGGCCGTCGCTTGCTGTTCTACCGCATAGCCGCTTAGCATTACACTTCAAACGACCATTGACCCATTTCTCACCCTATACTCACCTCCGTCTTCTCTCCGTTGCTCCCTTCTCCCCCTCCCCTCCCTCTCCACCCACTTCTCCCTCCGCGCAGGAACGGTGGCCGCGTTTTCGTGGTGCTGTACGGCAGCATTGGTGAGCTTTCCTCGCCTCACTCCGCCTCACCTCGCCTCACCCCACCTCACCTTACCTCACCTCACCTCACCTCACCTCACCTAGCCCGCATCTTCCACGTTGTCCTCTGAAAACACGCGCTTCCCCTCCCCACTTTCGCCGCATTGCCCTTGCCACATTTTCCGTGCCCTGTCGTCTGCGCGCAACGCTGTTTGCTCCCGTCCTTCCCCCTTTCCCCCACTTTCCCCCCCAGCCCCCCCCCCCCCCGTTCCCTCCACCAACACGTGTCATCGATTCCCCTCGTGTTTCCTTCTGCTTACCCGCGTCTCTTCCGTCCTCACTTCCCCGCGCGTCTTCCCAGCTAACTCTCCGTGTTTCTTCCCCACCTTCCCTTCCTTTTCCTCTCCCCCTTCCCCGACCCCGCACTCCATTTCTTCCTCCTACCCCCCCACCTCCCCTTCTCCGCTCCCCCCCTTCAACCCCCGCCGCGCGCAGACAACGAGGACGAGGTGCGCGAGCTGTACAGCCTGCCCAAGCCCGACCGCCCCGACCCGCTGCTCGCGTTCTCCGCCTCCTCCGCGCTGCTGCTCGCCGAGCTCTACTGGAAGGTGCGCGGGGGGGGGGGGTGTGTGCGCAGAGACGGGCGGGCGGAGGCGTGTGCGCGGGGGGGACGGGTTGGAATATGGGAGGGGGGTGCAGGCCGGGGGTTTGCGCGCGGGGACGTGAGGCGGGGTGCGCGTGAGTTCCTGGGGGAGTGCATGGTCGAGCGCGCCACGGCGTGCATGCGTTCCGCGCATCTCAAATCCATATCCTGTTTGCGCACATGCTGCGTTCAACGCGGCGTCGTTCAAGACGCACCATTTCCGGATTATTCCCCAAGTTCCTCAAGTCTACAGATTGTAGCTTTCCAGTTTATCGATTTTTCCCAGTCTCCATGTTTTTCGTCTTGTCTGATTACTGCGGCCCTCGTGCTCACTGCTCGTCCCCTGTGTTCCCCCGCGATCCCGCGTCCCGCCCTTCCCTCCATTGCGCCGCAACGTGCGGTTCGAAAAACAACAGGGCTTTTCAGACGCGTACGGCGACTACTCGTCGCAGCCCCAGACATGCCTCGCCTCGCTGCAGGTGTGTCTTCCTGGTCCCAGTGCTCCCCTTGCTCTCCTGCTCTCCTGCTTCCCTGGGCCCCCGGCTCCTTTGCTCCTCTGCTTCCCTGTCATATCGCCTACTAAATAAGATTGAATCCCCTGTTTCACCCCTCCTGTTTCACGTGCCGCATCTCCTCTCCATCATTCCCTCTCTTCCTCTGTCTTTTTCTCTCTACCCCCTCCCGCCAATCCTCCTCCCTCTCTCTTCTCTCCCTCTCCACGCTCTCTCCCTTCGCGCACCACAGGGCTCATGGGCCTTCTGTCTGTTTGACGACGCCAGTCAGTACGTGCTGGCTGCCAGGGACCCCCACCACGGCGCACCGCTCTTCTGGGCTTCCGTGCAGCAAGGTATGTGCTGCCGTCTGCTGTCTCCTGTCTCTCGTCGCCCGTCTCCCGTCTCCGGTCTGCTGTTTCCGACCCGCCGCTGGCCGTTGGTCGCCTATCGTCCAGGTGCAATTATCATTCCACATGAAGATGAACCGGACGAAACGACAGCAATGCGCGTGTGGCTCGTATCTTCTGCGTTCACATATTTCGACTTTTGAGACGTCTCAAAAGTCGTCTGCGTTTACATACCTCGCAGCTTCGTTCAACGTGTGCAAGAGACCACCTTGGTCCTCCCGGTCTTCTGGTCCTTCTGGTCCTTCTCGTCCTTCTACCCGTCCATTTTGTAGCGCGGATTGCATGCATGCATACATGCTCGCTCTGGAGAAATCTCAGAATTGATGCAAGCTGGGCAGGTGACTTGGAAACTGCTGTTACACTTGTTTCTGCGTTTGTATTGTCGCCCTGGTTACACTCCCAAGGGCATTATGCAACCCACGGTCGCTCTCTCCTTCCACTACCAGTACGTCCTCTGCTTCAAGCAACTCAGAGCCCGATTCTACACATGTCGCCCCTGGCCCCCTGGCAATTCCTGGTCACTCAATCCCTCCTCCACTCTCTCCCTCCCCCACTCCCTCCCCCCCCTACCATCCACTCCCCCCCCTGTCTCGCCGTCACCATCAGCCGACTTGCTCTTTTGCACGTGGAGCGCTGCTCCCAGTTCCATCCCAGAAAATGCCTCACACCCTGCTGCCGAAGCCACCGATGCCGCTGCCGATGCTGCTGCTGCCCCTGACGCTCCTGACGCGCCGGATGCTCCTGCTGCCCTTCCTCCTCCTCCTCTCACTGCTGCTGCTGCTGCGGGTGTGTCGTCCTCTGCCCATGGCCTAGAGCTCCGCGAGTTCCCGGCAGGGTTTTTCTATGAGAAGAAGTGGGACGAGACCATCGGCTCCTTGCACAGGTATGACAAACCCCACCTGATTATATCTTTGGATCTTTCTTGACTTGAACCTCTTGGTGTGGGCACGTGTCCCTCTGCTCCGAGCTTGCGAAGCTCTTGTGTTAAGAGCTTATATTTTGTGCCGTAGTGGAACCACGTTTCCCTCCAGTCTCCTCTGAGTGTCGATTCCAGCAACCTCGAACCTGCATGCGTGCGTGTTTCTCCTTTCTGTGTTCTCATAATGTCTTCACCCGCCTGTCCATCCCCCCCTCGGAGCAGCTACATGGAGGGGGAGGAGACGGAGGAGATGGATGTGAGCGTGCCCATGCCCTGTGCCACCATGTTCCGGGTCAGCAGGTGAGTGTACTCTCATACACATAGCACCCACCACACCCATGCCATGCTGTTCGTTGCCATGACATGTTATGCTCTGTTGTATGCTGTGTCTTATGCTCTGTCATGCCATGTGTGCTGAGGAGGTGGCCGCTATATCTCTGAGTTGCAGGTGTCCTTTCCAAACTCCTACCGATTCCCCCCCCCTCTTGCAATGCTTGCAGTGGGAGCGACCTAGCAGGACCCAAGCCAGGAAGTTTCGCCATGTGAAGTGAAGTAAGCCACACGTCCTTGCGGACAAGGGAGCAAGGTCCCTGACTTCTTGCTGGCAAAAGAAAGAGTTGCCTGCTTCACAGGCTGGTGCCTTTCTTTATCTTGTATATTCTGTCTGTTCCTTTGCTTCATTTGCTAGGAAGTGCAGAGTTTAACATGGCCTCAGACATTTGATGCTAGCTTGATGTCTCGTAACAGGCCAAGGTCTTCGGTATTTGAATGGGGTAACTGTTCAATGCAGTGTTTGAGAGTGTTGTCAATGGTTGGGAGATGGACCCATATTTGTGTGATCTAAATCATCTTAGTGAGGTGTGCAGTATCGGTATTTTCAGGAAGTGGGAAAGGGTTGTGGTCAATCACTTCAAAGCCAGGAGAAGTGGAGATTAAAAATTATGGCTCTTTAGGTATTTTATGCATGACCTCATTATAACGTGTATTTGAAAATTGATTAGTGTTCTTGTAACAATTTTCATAACGGCAAACCCAGCGAGTCAGCAACTGATCCCCCTCAACTCCTCTTGTGACCGTACCTCCACCTAAACCCGATACCTTGGGTCGGAGGCTCGGATCCACGTCAGCACTTAGAAGCAAGGTCATAGCAGATAGACCTAACAGAGCCACGTCATCTTAGGAGAAACAAGTCAAGCAAGTAGCCCTAACATATCCTAGTTTTCCTCGTTCCCATGGCGTGTAATCTGTACAACTGACGGTTTCCTGCATCTGCTCCGTGTCTCACTCGCTCTATTGCGACGCCTGCTTGCACAGCCTACTCCAGCATTACTGTTTTCTAGCGAAAACAAATAGCAGATACAGCTCCTTCGAACACGCTTCCTTCCGCCAGCCTCTACTCAATCGTTTTCAACCCACTTCAGTACTCGCATTGTACTTCAAACTCCTGATATAGCGATTTGACCGCCAGTGCGCGTACGTAGGAGCCGCGCACCGAAGCATGTTTCCCGGCGCCGCAGATGCCGGCGCGGCATCGACGCTGGTTCCCACGCGCTTCGTGTGGCCGCATGGGGGGCGACACGTGCACCTATGCGGGTCGTTTACACGGTACGTCGATATTTTAACTCAACGGTCGACTCAGCGAGCGAGTTTTGAGTCGACTCAACGGTAGGTCGATGTTTAACTCTCGAAGCGAGCGTCGCCGAACGGCGAAGCGTTAATGTAACGAAGAGGCGTAATGGGTATGATATGAGGGGCAGCAGAAAGCAAGGCGCTAAGGTAACCGCAAGGTTTCGGCGACAAAGCATCAGGGAACGACGCGTGCAGCCACCGAAACGGCTCTAGTTTCTGGTAGGTTCCGCTCGAATTAGCATCATGCGAACGACGAGGAAGGCATACTTCTAGCGTTCACCTCTGAATGTGCCTCGACACGACTACGTTCAAATCGAAAACTGGACACAACGTCATTTAGCGCGCACAGTAGGACACGTGTTCACGGAGCCGTGATTCCCGACGTCGTCATTCTCTAGGTTTTCATTCGCGATTGCCTATTGTATCTACTCCCGCCATGTCTCGTTCTCTCGTTCTCTGTTGACTTTATTTGTCACATTAGCTCTAGCAGCCGCTCGCCTCCCGCGGAACTGGTCAAGTTAAGGAGTGGATTATGCTATTTGGTCGCGCGCCTAGGGTGGTTCGCCTCAGATAGACTAGGCGGTCACGGCTAGGCTACTCGTGAATTGCTTATGGATTCGCCTGCATTGCGGGCAACGGATACTGTGCAATCTCGCTCGCCCAGTCCGAGTGTTTTGCTGTTGTTCGTTTCTCCATTTCTCTGTGTCTAGTACTCGGTTATTGCCGCCTATGGCGTCACGGGGGCAAAAAGAGCTCCTTATTTCCACTTGCCTGCTCCCTGCACCCCCTCCGGCGCGACCAGCTCGCTTCCGTACTTCGTACGAATCCACGAAAATTACAACGTTACTCTTATAAACGGCTAGAAATTTTCAAAACCATACAGACACGAAGGCCGCGTGCTGCCCTCTGCCCAGCATTCCGCATCAGAGCGGTCATGCCTAGAACAGGCCAGCTCCGGGCATGACGAGCTGAGCGAAGAGCTCCTCCGCGCGTGTGCTCTCCTCTCTCCCTCCCACCCCCCACTCCCCCTCCCCCTCTCCCAATTCTCCATTTCTGTTACTTCTCTTCTGATCTTCATCCTAACGCGTGCATCTTGTGCTCGGATGTGCTGTTGTTGCCACTGCCGCCACCGCCACCGCCGCCGCCGCCGCCGCTGCTGCTGCTGCCGCCGCCGCTGCTGGTGCTGCTGTGGCAGGTGGCAGGAGACCCTACCCATGGCGCCCGTGGAGGGCTCTAGCTCCATCTTCGCCGTCGTCTGGAACCTTCCTCCGGGTTACCACCAGGTAGGTTGACTCCTGGTTCACTGCCTGTCCTCAAGTACCCTCTCCAGGTAGCCAACCCCCTTTCCGGTTGTCGCCACCAGGTAACTTGCTTCGGTCTGCCCTGGCCAGGTTGCTTGCTGTTATATACACTGACCGCCGTGGCGGCTCCTATGCGAGTACAATCTCGTGTACAATCTGTGAGCCACTCCCAGCTGCAGCAGTCAGGCGTGCTTCCTCACTGCTGCATGCATGCATCAACCACGGTGTGGCGTGGCTTGAAGATTGACTTGTCTTATAAGCAACTTTCAAACACTACCCCTCCACCCCCGCGCTCCACCCCACAACCGCCAACCTGCTGCTACTTGTTCCTTATGGTACTCTTGCATATTCCTCCCTACACCACTTCGGTCCGTCTCCCTCGCTGCCTCTTTTCTCTCCTTTCCTGTTCTCCTCCCCCCTTTTCGCCCCTCTCTTGCCCATTCTCCTCCGTTCTCCCTGCTCTCGTTCTTTCCATCCCCTTCCTCCCCCCACCTCACCCCTCCCCCTCTCCACCCCCCTTCTCCTCTCCCCCCCACCCCAACCCCCTCCCCTTTTATCCCCCCAATCCCTTCCTGCTCGATTTCCACCTCTTACCCCCCCTCCCCCCCCCCATCTCCCCCCCATTTCCCTCCTCCTCCCCACCGTTCCCCCCCTCTTCCTCCCTCCCCCCGTCCTCCGCACCGTACCCTCTCCACCAGTACAAATTCATTGTGGACGGCGAGTGGCGGCACGACGAATCCCAGCCGTTCATGCCCGATCCCCTCGGCAACGTCAACAACTGGCTGCTCGTGCGAGATTCCGACCCCAACGCCCATCTCACCCCACCATCCGCCGCCGCTGCCACTGCCGCCTCCCCTGCCGCCACCGGACCTGCCGGCTTGGCCGGACCTGCGCCAGGCGCGGGAGAGCGTGGGGGGGTGGGGGAAGCAGGCGCGGGCGGGGGAGGTGGGGGAGGAGGAGGGGGAGCGGGCGGAGGAGGCGGGGGAGGAGGGGGTGTTGTGGGCGGGGTGGGGTTCGGGATAGGAGTGGGCGCTCATATGGATGTTGATGGGGTTGAAGTCACAACATCACACCCACAGCACCATCTCTTGACAGGAGCAGGGCACCAGCACCACCACCACCCAGGCGCTGGGGCAGCAGGGGGAGGAGGAGGCGCGGGAGGAGGCGGAGGAGGAGGCGGGCACTCGCACCAGCACTCACACTCGCACAGCCACGCGCACCATGGGATTGGGCTTGGTCCGTCAGCAGTGACAGCATCCCAGCACACCCCTGCACACATAGACTCGCACAGCCACACCCAGCAAGCAGCCTCGCAGGCAGCGCAGCAGCAGGGGGGCGCGGGGGGAGGCGGGGGGGGGGGGCTGGTAGGGGGGGAACCAGGGAGAATGGTCACCGGGGCGATGGTAGCAGGGGGGGTGGCGGGGGCGGGGGCTGGGGGAGCGGCGGTGGGGGGGCTGGGGGGAGCGGGGCTGGTGCTGGCGGATTCGATGGGGGCGGTGTCAGCAGCGGATGCGGAGTCGTCTCGGCAGCGGTTTGTGGACTTTCTGCAGAGGCACAAGGCGTATGAGCTGCTGCCCGAGTCAGGCAAGGTGCGTGTGCTGTGCTGTGGTCTCGTGTGCTGTGATGTGGCCGACAGTTCGTTTGCAGTGCGTAACTCCTGCTCGGTGTTCTCTGTGAGTTTTTTTAGGCGTTTCGCGTTCTGTGCTGTGCTCCTCGCTTTCCTTGTTGTCTTGTGGATAGTGCATTCGTTGGGTCTGCTAGAGAAGCGAAGCCAAGCCAGACCCTTATGCGTGTTTTTTGAGAATTCTCAAAAAACAGACCCTTATGCACGTTTGGTGTGGAGGGTTGGCAAGGCAGTGGGGCAAGCAGGGACCAGCAGAGCGCAGCAGGGAAGAAGGGAAGGGAAGCAATGGGTGGTTGGTCGCCTTGATCTTGGACGGACGAATTGGTCTAGGCAATATAGAGCCTTGGATGATGTTCTTGCTCTCCCTTTCTATTCCACGTGCGCCCCTGCGTTGGCGGCAGGTGGTGGCACTAGACGTGGCTCTCCCAGTTAAGCAGGCCTTCCACGCCCTCTACGAACAGGTGCGCCTGCTCTGCTGCACCCATCCCCACCCATCCACGCCCATCCCCAACCACTCGCACCCAATCCCACCACCTCATGCCGATTTGATTCCACCTGTTCCCTTGCCATGTCCATCCATGCCCAGCCTTTGCTGTCCATGCATCCATCTCCACTCCTTGCATTGCATTGCTCCACCCATAAACAGTCTCTCTATTTTTGCAGGCGTGCCATGAACCTGCATGCCATGCCATGCCGTGGAATCAAACATTTCACGGCAATTGTCTCGTGCAACAGCTGTTAGCCATCGTGTTCTAACCTCCCCTCCTTCCCTTGCCTTTTCATCCCAGCTTCTCCAGCCCCATTCCCTCACTTCCCATTCCCCCCCCTGTCGCTCCCCTTCCCTACCAATATCCCCCACTCCCGCCATCTGTGTGTGTAAGCGCGCACGTGCGTGCATGCGTGCGTGTGCCTGCGTGTGCGCATGTGCCTCCATGCGTCTGTGTGCCTGCGTGTGTGTGTGTGTGTGTGTGTGTGTGTGTGTGTGTGTGTGTGTGTGTGTGTGTGTGTGTGTGTGTGTGTGTGTGCATGTGTCTGCATGTGTGCGTGTGCTTCCATGCGTGTGTGTGCCTGCAAGTGTGCGTGTGTGTCTGCATCTGTGCGTGTGCTTCCATGCGTGTGTGTGCCTGGATTTGTGTGTGTGTGCATGTGCGTGCGGCACACAGGGCGTGCCAGCAGCGCCGCTGTGGGACTCAGAGAGGCAGGAGTTCGTGGGCATGCTCAGCGCCTCTGACTTCATCTCCATCCTCACCCAGGTGAGTTGACTTCTGAGTTGATTCAAAAGTCAACTAGCTGTGTGCTGTGGGACTCAGAGAGGCAGGAGTTCGTAGGCATGCTCAGTGCCTCTGACTTCATCTCCATCCTCACGCAGGTCTCCTCCGCCTCCTCCCTTTCACGCAGCCCACTCTGCTCCCTTCCTCTCACGCAAGTTTCTTCTGGTCTCTTGCTCATGCTGGATTGCACTGCTCAAGGTCAAAGCACATGTGTTCTGCCTTTTGCTCTGGCGAATTTGCGTGCACGTGCACATGGCATACGCATGCATGCATGCTAGGTTACATGCCAGTTGCGTTCACCTCTGTGAGGCCTTTTAGTGCTGTGTATTTAGTGTGGAGCTGAATGCATGGATGGAGTCGTTGTTTTCCCCCCTTCCCGCCCTCCCCCACACCCCCGTTCCATGCCCGCCTTTGTGCAAGCGCAATTGCACTGCAACAGCGCTGCGTTGAGTGAGGAGCTGCAGTAGACGCGCTTTGGGACTTTCCCATACCCTTTTCTTCTCTGTCACACACCCTCGTTTGTGCCCACATGCGCACACGCCACACAGCTGCACTGCAACAGCGCATCGCTGAGCGAGGAGGAGCTGGAGACGCACACTATAGCGGCGTGGAAGGAGGAGAAGCTCGCCCTCGCCACGCCCCTCGACGCCCCCCACACGCCCGCACGCCGCCCCCTTATCTATGTGCGCTCTCATGCCCTCTCATGCCATGCCCTCTCATGCCCTCTCATGCCCTCTCATGCCATGGCCTCTCCTGCCCTCTCATGCCATGGCCTCTCCTGCCCTCTCATGCCCTGCCCTGCCCTCTCATGCCCTCTCATTCCTGTAGCTGGCACATCCTTTATTATGCATTCAAACATGTCTGCCCAGTGCCATCATGCATGCATGCTTTTCTGACACCCCCCTCACCCCATTCCCATCCCCCTCACACCCTCCCCACCCCCCTCTCATCCCCCTCCCTTCCTCTCACCATTTACACCCCCTGACCTCTCACAACCCCTCTTATGTCCCTCCCTCTCCCTCTCTTCTTCCTACTCCTGTCCCGCCTCCCCCATCCAGGTTGGACCGGACGAGACACTGAGGAAGGTAGCGGAGGTGCTGCTAACAAGGGGTCTCGCCATGGTCCCTGTGCTCTACTACCCCGAAGCCCGCACCTCCTCCTCTGCTGCTGCTGCCGCTGCTGCTGCGAATGCTGCATCCGCCTCTGTTGCAGAAGCGCCACCGCCGCCGCAGCTGCTGCACCTGGCATCGCTGGCAGGCATTCTTAAATGTATGTCCCGCTCCCTCCCTCCCTCCATTCATCCCTCCCCCCCCGCTCCCTCCCGTCCTCCTCCTGTATCCGCTCCACCCCTTGTTTCTGCTCGATCCTGCCGTGTTTCTTTTATTGCTTATGTGGATGTCTCCACTTAGTGTCTGCTTTTGAGATGCTGGATTCTTAATGCTCTCTGTAGAACCGTAGAGCTGTACAAGGCCTCCTTTCCTTTCTCTGCTTCTGTGCGGCATACCATCCACCCTTCCCCTGCCCCCCCACCCACACACTCTTTCACTCTCTCACTCCCTCTCATTCTCTCTCGCCCACTCTCCCCCACTATCTATCCCTCCAGGCGTGGCAAAGCACTTCCGGCACGTGGCAGGCTCGTTGCCGCTGCTCTCACAGCCGCTGGGAGCGTTACCCATTGGCACATGGGCAGCGGAGAGTGGGCGCTCCAACACGCGCCCCATTGTGGTTCTGCAGACCTCCATGTCGCTCTTTGCTGCGCTCTCGCTTCTGTTGCAAGGTGCTTTGCTTGCCTCCTCCTTCCCTCCTGCCGCCACTGCTGCTGCTGTTTGCGCTTTACGCAGTCGTTGCTGCATGCTCTCCTTGCCGTTTCACATCACCAGTTGTTGATAACCTCCTCTCCTCCCATCGCCTTCCCTTCTCCTCCCATCGCATCCATTCCCTCCTCCCTCTCCTCTCCTTTCTCCTCTCCTCTCCTCGCCTGCCCTCTTCCCCCTCGCCTCCGCCTTGCCTCCCCTCGTCCCATCTCCTCGGCCTGCCACGGGGGCGCACAACAGCGGGTGTGTCATCTTTGCCAGTGGTGGATGAGAGCGGGGCTCTTATCGACATCTACGCGCGAAGGTACCCACCCCACCCCACCACCTCGCCCTCCCTTCCTCCCTCCCTCCCTCCCTCCCGCGCTTCCATTCTCTCTGCTGCACCCGGTTTTTCTAGGTGGTTCTGAGCGATGATTCTTCCTCCCGCTTGCTTTCGCTGTATGGAACACGAGTGCAGTTTCCCCCCCTATTTTCTGTCTGATTTATTTCTTCCTGTTTTTGCCTCACTTCTTGTCCAACCCCCTCTTCTCATTTGTGTGTGAATGGAATTGCATGTGTGTGCGTGTGTGTGAGTGTGTGTGAGTGCGTGTGTGTGTGTGTGCGTGTGTGTGTGGGTGCGTGTGCGTGCGTGTATGTGTGCGTGCGTGTGTGTGTGTGTGTGTGTGTGTGTGTGTGTGTGTGTGTGCGTGTGTGTGCGTGTGCATGCGTGCGTGCATGTGTGCGCGCGTGTGTGTGGATGTGTGCGTGCGCGTGCGTGCGTGCACGTGTGCGCGTGTGTGTGTGGATGTGTGCATGTGCGTGCGTGCGTGCACGTGTGTGTGTGTGTGTGCATGTGCCCCTATGTGAGCACAGTGACATCACAACGCTAGCCAAGGATCATATGTATGCACGGCTCAACATTGATGAGTTCACTGTTGGCCAGGTGGGCACCACGTCATCGCTGCTCCCTGCTCCCTGCATTGAAATGCCTCGAGTGTTCTGAGATCCCTGCTGCTCTTTGCTGATCTCTGTTGTTCGTAGTTCTTTGTTATGTCACCATTCAACTAGTGTTCCTTTGTAACCCATTCACCACCCCCCTCACATCCCAGAACCCCATCCCACCTTCATGTTCCCTTCTCAAATTCATTTTCCACCTGCTTCCTTACCTCCACTCTCCCTCCACTCCTCCTCCACATCGCTCCTTCCGAAGCTTAACTGCTGCTGTACTCTTTTCCGAAGCTCGACTTACACTCATAGCGTGCACCTTCTGCTCCCCTTCCTGTCGTAACCTCCTCTGCTACCACGCCTCATCTGCTTCCCTACCTTCTCCGCTGCTCTCCCCCTTGCCCGTGGCAGGCCCTGCAATACCGGCAGGACGCAGGGGCGGTAGGGGCGGCAGCAGCGGGCGGCACGCGGTGTCACATGTGCCTGCAGTCTGACAGCCTGCGAGTGGTGGTGGAGCGATTGGCCATGCCAGGTGCGCTGGTGGGAGGGTGGGGTGGTAAGGTGGTGGAGTGGTGGGGTGGTGGGGTGGTGGAGTGGTGGGGTGGTGGAGCGGTGGGGTGGTGGCATCTTGGACTGTTAACTTCAGGGATAAGATGGTGATGGATTTTCTGGGTGTAATGGTGGGTGCAAGCATGGGGGTTATGATGGGTGAGGTTGATGATCGACCACTTGCTTCCATCCCCCTCTCCCTGTCATTCTGCCTGCTGTTGCATACTCAACCCACAACCCCTTGCGCTCCACCCACCCCCCACTTCTCTCTCTGTCTTGCCATGCGCAGGGGTGCGCCGGCTTGTGTGTGTGGAGGCGGGCAGTCGGAGAATCCAAGGAATTGTCTCCCTCAGCGATCTCTTTCACTTCCTCCTCTCCTAATGAGACGTCTGAAAAGGACTTTTGAGACGTCTCAAAAGGCGGGCAGTCGGAGAATTCAAGGAATCGTCTCCCTCAGCGATCTCTTTCACTTCCTCCTCTCCTAACCCCTCTTGAGAATCCATGAAATCGGCTCCCTTACCAACCTCCTCCATCTCCTCCTCTTTGACCCTTCTCTTCTCGTCCTCCACACTCCACACCCATCCTCCAATCTTCTCTTATCCCTTTCCTCCCACGTTCTACATTCCACATGCCACAATCCGCATTCCACACCCCCCACACACGTCCTACACGGCATCAGCAGCACCATCATCAACCGAGTCCGCTCCTTTCACCCATCCAACACAACACACCATCGGTTCCATTATCCACCCTTTTGCCCCATTCCATTCCTAGCCTGTGCCATGCCATGCCAAGCCGCGCCGTGCCGTGCCATGCCATGCCGTGCCTGCTCATCTGCCGATTTTATTCAAGCCCGCTATGGTTAGCCATCCTAAAACTTCTCATGACCACTGATCGGCTTTTGCTGTTTAGAGCACCTTCCACTCGCTGCTATGCCACAGATAGAGCTGTGACTTGAGCTTCTAGTGCTGTGTACCTGGTGGGTTGAGCCAGCTTGTGCAGTAACTAGTTATGTTTTTTATTTTTTTTTTTATGACACCTCAAAGGCGTAACATGGAGGTTAATGTTCATCATGTAGGCTGACCAGTGGGGTTTGCCCGATGAGTGCAGGCAAGGCCTCAAGTCCGCATGCAACCATACATCTAAAAGCCTGGTACAATCATACACTGCTGACAGGTGCAACATTCACTCAATTTGACATTCTTCAGTAGATGCATTGTTAAGAAATCAAAACTTAGAGGGGCATAACTAATATAACTGAAACCCGAAGTTCCTTGGGATGCACTTGCCTTGGGGAGCCAAATTGCGAAGTCCCTTGCCTAGTCATACCAAGAAATTGCACACATTAGGCATTAAACATACCACCGATTTCACAAGGTGCCCTACACCTACCGTGACGGTGCACACATGATGTGATACAGTACCATGACCCAACCCAACTACAGATCAACAAATCCAACAGCGGTGCCTGCGTATCCTGCTCGGGTACTGCCAGTGCTGGCTGGAACACTATAGGAATACACAAAAAAGGACCGGTACAAATCTCCAGCAATCACGTGGTCGCCATTCCTCCAGACACCCTCGTGCCTCACCTCACTGAACCACACTACTGCACTACCCACATCCCCCCACATCACAACCCTTCACTCTCATCCACCCCAAAGTTCAAATGCGCGTTGTCTGCCGGCGGCAGGGCACCTCCCAACCCTCCCATCACACCACCCCCTGGTACCCCTCCCCCGGGCAAACCCCCCATCATTGCCCCACCCATCACACCCCCCATCATGCCCCCAAGCATAGACCCCGGCGCCCCCACCACCGAAGCCGGTCCCCCTGTAGCCCCAAGCGTGTACAGCCCAGGCTGGGGACCCAGCAGCGTCGCTGTGGCAGCGTGTGATGGCTGGTGCTGGGGCGTGAGCATGTGGGGCGCGGCGGAGGAGGCGGAGAGAGGGGGTGGGACGGAGGAGGGCATGGAGGGCGCGTTGGCGAGCCCGCGCAGCATCTTGATGACCTCGCTCGTGTCGTCCAGGTAGTACCGCGCCTTGCTCGGCTTCTGCCCCACCTGTTGCGCACATGGAGGGTGGAATGGGAGGGGTGGGAAGGAAGGGGAGAGGAGAGAGAAGGGAGGGGAGGGGAGGGGAGGGGAGGAAAGGAGAGAAAAAAAGGGCAGCAGTGAGGCGGGTTGTGGTATGTTTTGTCATGTTGTGGTGTGTGTTGCTGTGGTGTGGTCTGGTGTACTGTGCACGCAGCTGAGTCTGGAAGAAATAGCATGGAGTGAGTGAGGCACAGGGAGGGGTCGAGTGGACTTAGGGGAAGAGAAGCAGGCGAACAGGGCACATGGTGAACAAGGCACATACGAGGAGCGAGTGGAGAACGGGAAAGAGGCTTGCAGAGAAGAGAGCAGAAAGGATGGCGACGGAAGAACTGAGAGAGAGGGCTTAGGATGCGCGGAGGCGGATGGGGGAAGATGAGAGAGGAGGGCACAGGGAGAGCGGGAGCGCAATCCGTACAGTGCAGGCGAAGACTTCGGCGAGGGGTGTGGGCGAGGGAGCAGCGGTGATGAGGGCGCTGATGCGCTCGAACATGTCCTCGTCCGACCGGTCGTCGCCCACACACAGCACAAAGTCCGGTGCTGCCTTGCCTGCTCCCTTAGACGCCCTCAGCAGCTGATCCACCACCAGCCCTTTGCTCACTCCCTGGAGGGAGGTGAGAGGGAGGGAGGGTGGGGCAGCGGGAGGGGGGAGGCAGGTGGGGACAGGGGGAGGGGGAGGCAAGGTTGGGGGGAGGCAAGGGGGGGAAAGGGGGAGGGGGAGGCAAGGAGGGGTAGGGGGACGGGGAGGCAGGGCGGGGTCGGGAGAAGGATTGGTTGAGAAGGAAGGGTGGGGGAGGGGGAGCGGAATATGTTTGGAAGACAGGCAGCGGAGGTGATTCGAGGGGAAGGAAGTGCGGGGAGAATGAAGGGAGAAACGGGGAAAGGGGGCAAGGAGAGGGAAGAAGCGAGGTCTAGTACAGACTCCAGCACACGTGCAACCGGCACTCCTGAAAAGGGTTGCGCGTGTACTGGTTACTCCAGCACACGCGCAACCAGCCCACAGCCACACTCCGCAACCAGTCACATCACATCACTCCACTTCACTCCCAGCAAGCACCTACCCCCCACGCACAGACATTCTCACTCACACTCCCTTTCCCTCACACCCCACCCAGCCCTTTCCACCCGTCCCCACCCCCCCCTGCCCCAAAACCCCCCCACCTGGAGATTGATCCCCCCTCCACTATATGGTGCCCCCTTTTGACCACCGTGGGCCCATTGGCCAGCACGGCACGCTCTCCAGGTGCTCCAGCAGCTCCTTGGCCTGCCCTTTCCGCCTGCTCCTCTCCTCACCCCCCTCCCCTTCCTCTCCCGCTCTCCTGTCCCCCCTCCCAACTCCATACCTGCGGCTTGATCTCCATGATGTGGTGTCCGCCCTTCACCACAACAGGCTCGTTGGCCAGCACACTCTCCAGATGGTCCAGCAGCTCCTTCCCTTACCCTTCCCCTCTCTCTCTCCCCGCCACCCCTTTTCTCTCCCCCTCCTCTCCCTTCTCCCAACCCCATACCTGCGGCTTGATCTCCACAATGTGGTGCCCGCCCTTGACCACAACAGGCTCATTCGCCAGAACGCTCTCCAGATGGTCCAGCAGCTCCTTGGCCTGCCACGACCCAAAGTCGGGGTCGGCGTCGCGGTGGTGCCACACGAGTGCGCTCTCCTTGGTCTCGATGTACGACCCGTCGGTGGATTCCGTGTAGAGCTCGAGGACTGGGAGGGCTGCGTCCTTCCACGTGGCGTCCTGCTGCGCGATCGTGGTTTGCCAGGGAGCCGACCGGCTCCAGCTGAAAACATAAAGTGGGGAGGGTGGGTGGAGTGTGGGGGGGAAGAGGCCATAGTGGGGAAAGGGGGGCGCGGGAGGCACGGGGGGTGGGGGAGCGGGGAGACGAGAATGAGGAGAGGCGGTGGTGCCACACGAGTGCGCTCTCCTTGGTCTCGATGTACGACCCGTCGGTGGATTCCGTGTAGAGCTCGAGGACTGGGAGGGCTGCGTCCTTCCATGTGGCGTCCTGCTACGCGATTGTGGTTTGCCACGGGGCCGACCGGCTCCAGCTGATGGGAGGAGAGGGGGGGGGGTGGGGGGAGAGGGGGGTGGGGGCGAGAAAGGGATGACAGAGAGGGGAGGGTGGTGGTGGAAGGGGGCGGAATGGGGAACGGGGAAGAGAGGGAAAGGGGGGAGGAGAGAGGAGAACAAAAGGTGAGGGAGAGAGTGGGGTGCTTCCATGTTGTGTGTCCTGCTACGTGGTTGTGCTCTGCCTGCCATGGGGCACACCGCTCCAGCTGATGGCAGGGAAGGGGGGGGCGGGGGGGGGGGGGACACAGAGAGTGGAGGGTGGGGATGGGGATGGTGGGGGCGGGGTGGGGTGAGTGGGGGCGGAGAAGGTGGGGGGGAAAAGAAAATGAGGGAGAGAGTGGAATGCTGGTGCTACAAATGTGGTTCGAGTCGACTCTAGACACGTAAAACACGCCCAGCCCCAGCCCCAGGCGTGAGCGCACATGACAAAGAAGCCGTGCTCGGCAGCGAGGCCCAGGCGCGGGCAGCAGTACTGAACACCCAGGAGACCTTTGAGTAGACTCAAAATTCACCCCAGCGGCAGCCGTGAGCGCACGCAAGCACCTGACGAAGAAGCCGTGCTCGGCAGCGAGGCCGAGGCGCGGGCAGCAGTGGAACCAGGCCTCAAGGTTCTCGCGGCGGCGGCCGCTGACGACAAAGACGGTGTTGCGCGAATCGCTGCTCAGCCGCTGCACCACGTCCAACACGTCCTGCCCCGGGGTCTTGTTGATGGACGTCTGGGGAAGGGGAGGGAGGATGGGGGGAATGGGTGGGAACGGAAGCGGAACGGGAGGGGAACTTGAAGGGAAAAGGGAACAGGGAGAGATAGATCAGCCGCTGCACCACGTCCAACACATCCTGCCCCGGTGTCTTGTTGATGGACGTCTGAAGGGGGAGGGTGGAGGTGGGGGGGGGGGAGACAGAGAGGGGGGGGGGGGGCAGAGAGGGGCAGGGGAAACAGGAACAGGGACGGGGAGGGAGAGGGGGGAGAGAGGGGAGAAGCTGGGAAAAGGAGATGGACCAGCCACTGCACCACGTCCAAAACGTCCTGGCCTTGGCTCTTGTTGATGAACGTCTGGGGGAGGGGAGTGAGAGGTTGAAGCAAGGGCAGAAGCGGGAGTAAGGGATGCAGGGGGGGGGGGGGGGGGCAGAAGGAGCAGAGGGGTGGTAAGGGGAGCAGCGGGAGGAGGGGCCCGAGAAGCAGTTCGTTTCTGCAAATGGAGGAGATGAGAAGCTCAGAGTGGGTGCATCTGCATGCCACGCCACCCACAACATCCTGGCTTGCCCCGCTCAGAGGAAGGGACTTCCCTTCCTCCTTCCCCCAACCCTTCCCTCCTTCTCATCCCCCCCCCTTTCCGCCGCCCCACCTGTGGCATCATGGTGCCGACATGATCGAGCACGAAGAGGCGCGACTGCACACACTGGCGTTCTGCCCTGCCCTGTCCTTCTTCCCCCTTCTCCCCCCACACCCCCCCCCCCACATCCCCCCACTTCTCCCCCCCTCCCCACCTGCGGCATCATGGTGCCGTCATAGTCGAGCAGGATGAGGCGCGACTGCGCGCGCTGGTAGGAGCGCACGAGCAGGTCGGTCTGCAGCTTGCGGAAGTTGGGGTCGAGGGCTACTGTGCGGAAGCCCAGCCCGAAGCCAATGCCGTAGCAGCACAGGTGGCTGTGCTCCCTGTGAGAAGGCAGTCATGGTGGGGCGGTGGGGGAGAGGGGAAAAGGGGAGGTGGAACGGGAGGGTGTGGTGAGGGAGAAGCACCGGCACCGTGCTGAAGCCCAGCCCGAACCCGATGCCGTGGCAGCCCAGGTGGCTGTCCTCCCTAGAAGGCAGGCCGGGGGAGGGGGGTGGGATGGGGGAGGTGAGGGGGAGAACGAGGGGAGGGATGGGCGGAACGGAAGGGGAAAGGGAGGGTGTGGTGAAAGAGAGGCAGGTGTGGCAGGGGGCGAAGAGGAGTGCAATTAAAGCTTTCAGGGAGGCCCTGTGAGCACCCTAGGCAATCACAGGAGGGACGGGAAGGTTTTAGCAAGCAAGCATCCCAGCAACCCAGCAACTGAGAAACCCAGTAGCAGAACCACCATCCGCCCACACGTTCTCCCCTGCACGCGCACTGGAGGGAGGAAAGCCCCCGCCAATACCCCCCCAGGCAGATGCCCAACGTCCTCTCAACCGCACAGCAGCCACCCACGCCCCTGCGCATCCCTGCCACAGCGCCACATAGCCAGAGCCACCCAGGAATTCAGGCGTCCACCTGCACCCACACCCCCACCCACTCCCCCACCCACACCCATTATAGCACCCGCACGCAGGCAGGCTTACCGGCAGGTGCGCTGCAGGTCGGAGACGAAGGAGTGCGCCCAGTAGCCGACGTGGTGGTCACGCACATACTTGTAGTGCTTGTCGTGCCGCATCTCCTGCTCGCTCTCCCCCATCGTCAATGCGCTGTTCACCGCGTCCGCCACCGCCTGGTGGGAAGAAGGGGCGGGAGTGGGGGAGAGGGAGTGGGGGAGAGGGAGTGGGGGAGAGAAGGAAGAGACGGGGAGAGGGCAGAGCGGGAAGAAGGGAGGAGGAGGAAGGGAGGGGGAAGATCGGGGGAGGGGGAAAGGGGGAGAGGGATGAGAAGAGGGACGGGCGGGTACGCCAGGGGGGGAGGATGGAGAAGCGCGAAAGGGATGGGAAGGGGGAACGGGAAGGGTGGTGAGGGGAAGCAGGAAGGTTTACAGGGTGTGGGGGGAGGTGAGGGGAATTGAGCTGACATAGAATACCCTTGTCACACACGCCACCCCTCCATGCTTGTGTGTCGCATGGATGCTGGCATGCTCCTCTCACATGGGCCCTTGGAAAAACGGACAACGGACACTCAAAAGCATACCCACGTCTCCCCCCCCCCCCTCCTTCCCCTCCATCCCTCCACACACGCACAAACAGACATACACCACACCACTCTCACTTGCACACATGTGCACCACACCCTCAGCGCACCTGCACGTTCCAGGGGTTGATTCTAATGGCGCCACTGAGCGAGGGCGAGCAGCCGATGAACTCCTCCGACACCACAATGGCACAGGCGCTTGCACACATGCGTGCGCACACAGACACATACAACCCGCACGCACGCACCTGCACGTTCCAGGGGTTGATTCTGATGGCGCCACTGAGGGACGGCGAGCAGCCGATGAACTCCGACACCACAATGGCGCTGCGCCGCTTCTTCCTGCTCTCCGCCTCGCCGCCCCGCTTTGTTATGATCGCCGGCAGCGACGGCGCCGGCGCCACCACAAGCCCCCCCGCAGCACTCTCCGCTCCCGCTGCTGCTGCTTCTCCTGCTTCTGCAGACCCCGCAGCTGCCCCTGCTGTATCACCAGCAGCGGCAGATGCGGGTGCCGCAGCACCTGAGTCTGCTGCCGATTGTACGGGTAAAGCGTCTCCAACAGTGCTCGTGGCGTCTGCTGCACCCACACCTGCGCCTGCCGCTCCTCCCTCCGCTGCAGCCGCTGCTGCCACTCCTGCTGCCTCTGTGTGCTTTGCCTCGTCCCCTCCTACGTCTGCAGCTGCAGCAGGAGCAGGAGCCTGAGCGGGAGGGTCAAGAGACGAATGGGCGTGGGAGCGATGGGAGGGCAGAGGAGGCTTGGCCCCAGACCCCTCATGTGCACCAGTGCCAGCACTACCAGCACTGGCAGCACCCGCAGCAGCAGCAGCAGCAGCAGCCGCGGCGCCAGGACCAAGCGCCGCCGCAGCGGACGCAGCAGCAGGGGAGGCGCGCGCGGCAGCAGAGGCGGCAGCAGAGGCGGCTTGAGCAGCATCTACCCCATGGCGGCAGACAATGTACTCGTAGGGCGTGAGGTTCATGCCGTCGCGCACGGCTGTGACCACAAGGCACTCTGCCTGCGACATGAAGGCTGCCCGCTCGTACATGGGCACGTGCCGCTCCAGCAGCATCACCGGCTCGTACCCCTCTCGACCGAACTCACGGTTCACCCGCCTGCAGGGTGAGAGCGGGGAAGGGGAGGAGGGGAGGGGGTAGGGGAAGAGAACGGGGGGTGGTGGAGAAAGGGGAGGAAGATGGAGTGAGGGATACAAGAAAGAGGAGGGGATATTTGTGAGGACAGGATATGGAAGAAGCGGCATTGTATCATCCAAAAGGGACAAGACACAGAGGAGAGCCTGGACAGACACGGGCATCACATAGACGGGTGCAGACATGGGCAGTCGATTTCTGCGGCGCTTCAGACATGGGGAGGGAGGGAGGGAGGGAGGGAGGGAGGGAGGGAGGGAGGGAGGGAGGGAGGGAGGGAGGGAGGGAGGGAGGAGAGAGAGCGAGGGGCATACTTGACGATGGAGTAGATGTCGTTCTGCATGTGCTCGACCTCAAACACAAGGTCCCCTAAAACTCCCCACTTATGCAAAAGAGCACCAAGGTAGATTCCTTGTAGCAGCAGCAGAGCAGCAGCGTGAGAGCCTGTGCAAGCGCCTTACTTGACGATGGAGTAGATGTCGTTCTGCATGTGCTCGACCTCGGCCCCGCGGCCGCGAGCAGGGTTGGCAATCTGCACGAGCACCACCTTGCCCACCCACTCAGGGTGCTGCCGCAGCAGCTGCTCCATCGCCAGCATCTTCAGCCCTGCCATACCATGACCATACATGCATGCCGTGACATGCCGTGCCGTGTCATGTCATGCCGTGCCATGTTGTGTCATGTCATGCCGTGCCATGTTGTGTCATGTCATGCCGTGCCATGCCATACCATGCCATGCCATGCCGTGCCATGCCATGCCGTGCCATTCCATGCCATGCCATGCCATGGGCATCAGGCGCCAGCCAGGAACCCGAAAAGGGGCGGGAGAGAGTGGATGTTCTTTTGAGTCAAGATGTTGATGGTGGTCGTGGTGGTGATGGTGTTCATCATACACCACCCACGGATGCAAAGAGAGCACATGGAAACACACCACACATGCCCCAAAACCTCCAGTCCCCCAACCCCTCCCCAAAACCCATCCCTTGCCCAAACCCCCAAACACCCCTTCCCTCCTGCTCCCACCCCCACGCCCCCATCCTTCCTCACACTACCCCCCCTCTGAAACCCACCGATCCCCTTGAACAGGTCCATATCGTCCACTCCAAGCACAATCTTCTTCCCCTCAAACTGCGCGCGCAGCTCCCCGACCCGCCACTCCGTGTCCGCGAGACTCAGCGCCGCGTTCAAGCGCCCCATGTGAATCCCCACAGGCATGATCTTGATCCCCACCGTCCTCCCGTAGTAGTCGAGCCCGATGTGCCCGCGCTTGGACTCGTACTCGAGACCCAGCATACGCGAGCAGCAGGAGAGGAAGTGGCGCGCGTAGTCGAATGTGTGGAACCCGATGAGGTCCGCGTTGAGCAGCGCGCGCAGGATCTCGTCTCGCACGGGGAGGGTTCGGTAGATCTCGGAGGAAGGGAACGGGCTGGTGGGCGGGAGAAGGGGGGGAGGGAGGGAGTGGGGATGGGGTTGGGTTGGGTGGGACGGGGTGGGGATGGCGTGGAGATTGGGATTTATGGATTGGAAAAGGGTTGGGTTTAGTTGGGTTGGGTTGAAAGAAGTGGGTTGGGTTGGGTTGGGTTGAAAGAAGTGGGTTGGGGGGGATGCAGCATAAAGCAGCGATGTTGGGGGCTGTGTGTGTGTGCAGAGCTAGGTGCATCAGCCCAACCAAGATGGTTCATGCAGTATGCTCCATAGGGACAGACACTGTTGTTGCAACACGCATGGCTTGCTACATCCAGGTAAAGCAAGGCACACAGGGGGGAAGGCAGTAGTGGTCAGAGCAAGAAGAGAGTCCCACATACGACCACAGGCATCTCATTCCCGCTGTCCTTGCCCCACCATATCACAACACACCCCGTCCCCTCCCCCACGCCCACTCTCTCCACTTTCTCTCCCTCCACCCCCCCCTCCCCTTCCTCCTCCTCCCCACCTCTTCCAACCACTCCCCCCCAACCCCCCTCCTCCTCCCCTGCACCCACCTGTGCAGGAAGAAGCCCAGGCGCACGCGGTGAAACCTCTTGCGCAGAAACGTAGGCAGCACCATGAGGTGGTAGTCGTGCACCCACACGTAGTCGTCGTCGGGGCTGATCACCTCCATCACCTTGTCGCTGAATATCTTGTTCGCACTCACATACGCCTGCCACAGCTCCCGGTCAAAGAGACCCGAGGAATGGGACGGGCCGAGCGGGAGGAGGTAGTGGAAGAGCGGCCAGAGCTGCTGCTTGCAGAACCCGTGGTAGAATCTGACGGGGAGGGGAGGAAGGGGAGGGGAGAAATGGGGAGGACGGGGGGGAGTGTGAGAGGGTGGTGTGGGGTGATGGAGGAGGTTGGTGGGAGTGTGTTTGTGGTGGGTGGAATGGAAAGGGGGGTGGATGGAGGGTGGTGGAGCAAGGGACAGTTTTGAAGCGTTTGGAAAGTGAGATGGGAAGGGGAGGGGGGCGGGAGGACGACAGTAGGAGCTCGCAAGAGCGACAAGGAGAGTTTCAAGAAGCGTCAGAGGCAGCAGGGCGCGCGAGGACGCACAAGACGGGAAATGAATGGGAACAAAGTGGGGTGGGTTCGGTGGGAGGGAGCTTGGGGGGGGGGGAGAGGATGCGGGAGAGGAAGGGAATGTGGAGAAGGGAATAAGAAGCCAAAGAGAGTGAAGGGGCGGGTGCAGGGGCGGGTGCAGTGACCTGGCTTTGAGGTCGGCCGGCAGAAAGGTGGGGACACAGTTGAAATTCTCTAGGAGCGTGGCTGCTACCCTGTCCTGCTCCGATGCATCCACCTCCACCTGTGAGAGCCATATCCCATTCCATGGCCACCATGCATGCACATAGCCGTTCAGACATTCAGACATGCAGACATGCACACACGCAGACATGCACACATGCACACATCCAGACATGCAGACATGTACACATGGATGCTCATACACGCATGCACACAGACATGGGTGTGTGCACACATGCACACATATGCAAACACGCACGCATGCACACATGCACCCATATGCAAACACGCACACACGCACGCGCGCATGCATGAGCAAAAAAAAACCCAAACATAATGACCCACATGCCCACGCACCCACACGCGCACATTCCCCACACATGCACTATGCATTCTCACACACACACACGGACAACAGAGGATGCCAAGGGCAGGAAGCACAGTGATTGAGGCATCTCACCACTCAGCACCTCACCACACAGCACCTCACCACACAGCACCTCACCACACGGCACTTGGAATGCTACACGTGCCAAACACGTGAAGCAGATACAGTGACGCCAACTCGGATCCCATTCCGGGTGATGCTCAGCTCTTGCATCAGCCGGAGCAACAGTTTGTGTACACCCTTGGCCGCCAACACGAATCCTCATTCCGGCACCAAGCTCGCACTTCACTTGCTCCACAGGACAGAAGCAAGCTATGCTTTTGCGAGTTCTCAGGGGCAGCTCCAGCGCACCTTGGGCGAGCCGATGTAGATGATCTCCATGTCCTCGTCGCTGCCCGCTGGTGCCTCAGGAAAGGCGGTGGGGGAAGAGAAGAGCGAGTGCATGCCACATGCCCGGCACACCAACATCTCCGCACCTTGAGCGAGCCGATGTAGATGATCTCCATGTCCTCGTCGCTGCCTGCTGTGATGCCGTCCTTCATCTGCAGCAGCAGCGCGTCCTCGTCCCACCTGAACGCCCACTCCTGCTCCACGCCACGCCGTGCCGTGGGGTGGGTTGGGGTAGTGTGGGCAGCGGGGGCAGTGTGGCGCGTAGGCAGTGTGGGGAGTGGGACAGTGGGGCAGAAGGGCAGTGGGGCCATGGGGCGGTGGGGGTGAGTGGGGGAGAAGCGGGGGTGTGGGGGAGGGGGGATTGTACATCATGGATAGATAGCATGCAAAACATAGCAGCAAGGGTTAGAGTCTCTCTTTGTCTCCCTCTCTAATTGCGTGTGCGCGCGCCTACACACACATGGACTCTCTCTTTCCTCCCCTTTCTTCTGCAACCAAGCCCCTCTCTGCTCCCTTCCTCCCTCGCCCTCTCCTGCCGCCTCTTTCACTTCACATCTTCTCACTCTCTCTATGATTTGCATCCATTTCCGAAGGACCCCTTACGAGGCGCCTAAAAAGTGCGTCCATTTCATACGACCCCACGGCCCCCTCTTGTTCGCACACCCCCCCTGCCCTCCTGTCGTCCTCCCTGCTACCAACCAACATGCCTCCCTCCTGTCCGCTCGCCTCCCCAGTCCATTTCTCCCCTTTTCGTTCTCCACCACGCACTTTCCTCTCTCTTATACCGCACATGCACGTGCATACATACCGCACAGCCCCGTACAGGCGGCAATCACAAATTTACATGGGATACCCGCCCCACATTGTAGCCCCCCGCAAACCACACATTTAGCCCATCCGCCCATGCGCAACGACCCCCCATTCCTCCCCAATCCGCGATTAGACCGATCTGATTCCTCCTACCTCCCCCCCCCAATTCTTTCCCTCGCCTCCCTCTTTTCCCCCCCCATTCAACTCCCCCCCCCTCCCCTCCCCCGAGCAGCATCTTCCCGTGCGCCTCACCCGCACCTTCCCCCGCCCTCCCCCCTCTTCCACTTGCTCCCCATTCCGCCAGCGCCTCCCCGCGCCTCACCTGCGTGGCGGCGTCCCGTTCCGTGTGCAGCGGAAGCATGTTCGCCACAATAATCAACCGTTCCTGCGCCAGGCTCGACGGCGATTCCGATCCCGAGCTCGATGCCTCATCCACCCCCCCGCCCAGCCCCATCAGATTCCCCGCGCCTGGCCGCCCGCCGTCCGCAATCGTCCCCGTCGCCGTGGCGGAACGGGTGAGGCTGCCCTTGCTTCCGCGCGCCACTGGGCGCGTGAACAGCGGGGCATCCCCTGATAGGTCGAGGAGGTTCGCATAGGACCGCGACATGGTGACGTGGACGGGACACGTGTCGTGCTCCTGTGAGGCCGGCCGACGGTTCGCGCTCCTATCCTATCTTGATCAGCCGAATCGAGTCCTAGTTTCTAGCACGTTCACCCTAAGAAGCAACCGCCAGCTTCGAGGACCAGCTTACGAGCCTCGTGCGACGGGCGAAGTTGTAACCCGATTGGACCTGAAGGGCGAGATGACAAAAAAGAAGCCGAGATTTTCGGAGGGTGGTGAGGGGGGAAAGCATTCAACAAAGAGACGGGGATGGCTGATGAGGTATGCGATGAGACCGATTCAAATTCGCGAAGAATAGGTTAAAAATGAGAGGAGGATGCGCGAACTCATGCGAATTTAACGTGATCTGACGAACGTGTGGAGAAGCAGAGAGAGCGGGAGGTGCACGAGGCACGAATGCTGACGCGACGAAATGGAACAAGTGGATAATCGACACACGCGAGTAAACGCTGTGAGATGGATGCTTGGAGACGGGGCAAACGCTCGAATGCAACCGTGGTAAGCTGGAGTTACTTGTCCCAGCAACACGTGCGAAGAAAAACAAAAGGAACAATGCATTGAAACGGATTGAATGGCATCAGGATAATTCACGGAGTTCAGTCATCAAGGGACGTGCACACACGGGACAAGGTTCCGAAATTCACTTCAGATCATGCGAGAGACAATATATAGGCACACCTGTCCACTGTCGCTCGACTGCACTCGCTGCGCTTGCTGGTAGGCGATTGTAAACTGTCCGACGACGGGAAACTCCCGTAGGGAAAGGTTCTTAGCCAGCCGATGTGGCTCAGGACACTTAACCTGGCGGCCCTCGGGGAATTGGCGGGAGGGAACGCTAAAACGGGAAGATTTAATAGTCTGTTAGGAGGGAGGGCGAGCAAGACCGCCTTGCTGCTAGCCACTCAGCACCGTGCTCGAGGTGGTAGCAGGAGATTAGAACTCGACTTGGGCGCAACACAGTGTGGGGGGAGAGGGGGAAGGGGGGTGGGGAAGGAGGGGGCAGGGCAGGGGAAGTATGGGGGAATGGTGGGAAAGGGGGGACCTAGCGATGAACTGCGGTGGCGGAAGGGGGGGCTTTGTTGGCAGGGGAACAGGAAGGCAAATCCGCAGAAATGGATAGGGTCGGCGGAGCGAGTGGGGGAAATGCGCAGCAAACGCTGCTGCGCAGATCGGGGGAGCAGCGTAGCATACTAAGTCGGCTGGGCGCAGCACTGGAGCTCTCTGTGGCTGACGTGTTCGTTTCTGTTGAGGGGGTAGGGCAGGGGCGGCTGGTTGGGTATGAAGGTGGGGTGACTGGTAGGACGCGTCCCCCGCCACGATCGACCCCTCACGGGCTCGTTTTTCAAGTCAGCACAACTCTATTACATGCGTAAAATATTGAGTATCACAAATTTCTGAGCCATCGCGAATGAACAGTGGACCTCGAGGAGGTCGGGAAGGAGAATGCATGAACAGTTCTGCTGACGTTACAAGGTAAGCTCGTCCGAGCCTGCGCAGGTTCGAACGGGGATGAGCAGGGAGGAGATTGGGGGGGGATACCTCGCTACACGCCTCTTCTGTAAGCGTATATGTACATTCTTGAAAAGTTTTCGTCTGCTCCATTTTACGTTTACACTCCTCACCTCACCTGTCAAATGATCCACAAGGGTCATCAAGTTCCATATTTTTCAATTGCATCACTTACCCATAAAACGTTACAACCAAATTTATGTGCAAGGCCAATAGAGATGGTTCGTTGTGCACTCTATAACAGCATAGGCTTTTGCGAAGAACTCATTCTGCAAGAGGGAAACTTACATCGACATAAACGTTTTTTAGCCATACAACTGTTGGAATTAAGGTTAATTCGGGTTGCTCCAATAAACATATGTAGTGGTACATCTACACTATGGTAGTGTAGAATACATTGGTTGGGTTGGGAGAACTTGTGGTGTACACTCTTTAGAGTGGACCACCTCCCAAACCTTATAGGTTAGGGTTCTCTCTTGTTGGCATTTCACTTTTGGAAACCACTTTGGTTCTAGCATGGTTCATGCCCAAGTGGGCTCCTAGGATTCCTAGGCTTTAGGAGGAGGTTCTAAGACTACTAAAGCTTCCGCTAGTATCTTAGTCCATTCTAATATGGTATCAGAGCAAGGAAGGCCTAGCAATCTGTTGGAAAAGGAGTTACTCAAGACATTGGACCATAAGATCTTGGTGGAAGCTAGTTAGCTTCCATTCCTCTCGAAGGGCTGCCAAAATTGCACCGTGGCGGACTCTGGACGTGGGAGGGGAGGAGGAGAGAAGAAAACTGCTGGAAATCGTGTAGATCCGTTTGGGAGGACGAGAAGAGCGGCATCCATCCACGGAGGCGCTCAATCAACTTTGGCCGATCAAAACTTGCAGCATACCGTTGGAAAGGTCTCAGCACGCTCTACAACAATTGCCTCAAGGTCGTTACCAATCGACGAGGGGATCGGACGCAATTCGCGAAAAACTGCCGGCGGACGAATTGGAAAATCGCGAATCGGGGAAGATTTAAAGCGCGGAAAAAAGATTGGAGGCCAGACGCCGATAGAGGAGGCCAGGGCGCATCCAACAAGCCAAAAATCGGGAGAAACGGTTGAGTCTTCGTCGACGGGAAATCGGCCAACTTCGACGAGTTTAAGCGGACAGCTTGGAAGCGGGATCCAGGAGCGCGATACATCATCGGAACGGTCTTGGAGCAAAGATTCATCTGAGACAAACGGCTCATCATTCGGAGGTTCGACCGCGGAGTTACGCTCCAAAAACCAAGAGGGGGCAAATCTGTCCACATCGTCTCCACCACCGCCGCCGTTGCCTCCACCACCACCTCAACGTCAATCTCCAGAGTGTCTGCCGCAAATGGATCATGACTCAGGTGAAGGGAAGCTGGAGAGTACGCCAAAGTTCGACCGGAGCGACTATTGGACTTGGAGCTTCCGATTCGAACAATGGGCAGAGGCACACGATCTATGGGGGTACTTTGATGGTTCGGAGGAGCGGCCTGCATCGGGTGACGCACGGCTGAAGTGGGAGAGAAAAAATCAGAAGGCATTCGCTCAATTCTGCAATGCCTTGGTGCCAGATGAGCTAATTCGCTTGGTACGGGAGTTCGGCGGCAAGACCGAGTTGGGCAGCGCACCTGTTGATGGCGGAGCAAGAGCGGTCACCCGAATTCCTGCAGGCACAGCAGCGGCATACATACGAGTGAAGGAGTTCTACCTTCAGCGTGGATTGTGTAACCGGATGGCACTCTCTGAGGAGCTCTCTTCATTGAAGATGAAAGAGGGGGAGGGGGTGGCTGCATACTGGGCGCGTGCCGAGGACTTGAGGTCCAAGTACTTGGCAGCAGGAGGAAAGGAGGAGGTTGAGGAGTGGATGATGAGGATACTCAAAGGACTACCTCCTCACTTTGAGATGCTGAAGGTGGTGTTGAACAACCAGTCATCATCGCTCACTAAGGATCAGCTGCTTACCTCCTTGAGGAGCGAGGAGATGCGGATTGGTGTCGCACCAAGATCGGATGGTGTAGCCACATTTGGAGCGGGTACGAAAGTGGGCAGCAGCGGCAGGGGAAATTGGGTCAAGGGAGGAAAGCATGGAGACAGCGGTAGCAGCAGTGACACCAACTCGGGCAGATGGGGTCAAGGCAAAGGCAAAGCGGGAGTGCTTGATTTCCTTTGGGGGTCCAAGGGCATGGCTCCTCGGGGGTTGTGTCATGGCTGTTGGGATGAGGGACATGCATGGCAGCGATGTCCTCATCGACCTAAGGGAGGCATTCCGGCATTCTTACAGCGGGGGGGTCGTGGGTCCAACGGCAAGGCACAGGTGGCGGATGAGGAGGAGCAGGATGACAAGGCAGAGGCAGTGGTTGGAGAAGCAGTTGCAGCAGTGGGAGAGGAGCAGCCGCGAGAGGGGTGGTGGATTGACAGTGGGGCCAGCCACAACTTTACTCCTTATGCATCGGACTTCAAAAGTAAGCTTCAACCACCAGAGGTTCGGGGAGTTAGATTGGGAGATGGACGGGTGGTGAAAGCTGTTGGCATGGGTGAGGTGCCAATGGTTGGTGCTGGAGGTCAGCTGCTGAGGATTCAAAAGGTCCACCTTGTGCCTGAGATGCACACGCGTCTGCTGTCAGTCCCACACCTCACCTCTCGAGATGTCATTGTCACATTCAAAGGCAAGAGATGTGTCCTTCAACGGGGGGAGCGGGTGTTGGCGATTGGAGAAAAGGAGAGGGGAAGGGACCATGGATTGGTGCGGATGTTTCTTCCTCTTGCTCAGGGCACACAGGGCAGTGCTCTTGCAGCTAAGTCGTCCTCCTCATTTTCCCCATTGACCCTTGCCCATCGCCGCCTTGGTCATACCGCCCCCACAACATTGCAACAGATGGCTCGGGGGAACAGTGTACTGGGCTTGGAGATTGGGGGGGGGAACACTGATTGTTCCCCATGTGAGCCCTGCTTATTGGGAAAGTCGGCTCGGAAGCCGTTTCCCCATGAGGCGTCTCGGGCACTTGGGCCTTTGGATGAGGTCCACATGGATTTGTGGGGGCCGGTGCGCACACCATCACTGGGAGGAGCGGTGTATGTCCTCAGTCTCATTGACGACTTCACCAGACGAGTTTGGTCGTTCCCCCTCCCCAACAAGGAATCGGCCATAGTTGCAAAAGTCCTTCGCCAGTGGCATAAGGACGTGGAGTTGGAGTGTGGGCGGAAGCTGAAGGCTGTTCGCTCGGACAGGGGTGGCGAGTTCTTGGGGGAAGCTGTAAAAGCATGGAAGGGGAGTTTGGCATTAAAACTCAATTGAGCGTCGCAGATACACCGCAACAGAATGGGGTTGTGGAGAGGTGGCACAGGACGATGGCAGAGGGGATTCGCACATTGTTGGTCGACAGTGGTCTCCCTGCTCGCTTGTGGGGTGAAGCATTGATGTGGGTCGTGTGGGTTAAGAACAGGGTCACCCACAGTGCTTTGCCTGCCTCCATCACACCAATGGAGGCGTGGTCCGGCCAGAAGCCGCATGTGGGCATGGCTCGGATTTGGGGTTGCATGGGGAGTGTCATGTTGCATGGGCATGAGAAGGGTGGCAAGCTTGATGCACGGGCTGTCATGTGTGTCTGTGTTGGGGTGGACATGGAGAGCAAGGGTTGGCGCATGCTGGACCCTTCTATCATGCGCATTCGCATTGCTCGGGATGTTGATTTCCTTGAGAATGTGATGTGGAAGGATTGGGACAAGGCAAAGGAATTTGGGGAGCTTCTGCAGGATGCAGCTGCAATTTCCCAACTCCTCCCTCTTCCACTCTCGCCACCTTCAGCAACGGCTGACGACGTTGAGATGCCACTTTCACCACTGCCACCGGCACCGCTGAGTGTGTCGGTGCAGCAGCAGCCCACCCCTCTGCAGCAGCTCAGTGGCCCCTCGGTCATTCAGCGGAGATCCGCTACACAGGCTACTTCCTCTTCCTCCTCCTCTGGTCAGCGCTCTATCCCTCTCTCTACGGGTGCCCCTCCGTCACCAGCGACTACCTCCCCACCACCGGTTACGGGTTTGCAGGTGCTTGGTATCCAGTCTGGTACAGGTGGTGAGGAGGTAGGGGGGGATGCTGGTGTGGTTGAGGGCATGCTATGTTTGGCCAGGGAGGTGGAAGGTGTTGCACTGGCAGGTGTGAGCACAGGTGATGTCCCACACACACTCGCTGAGGCCCTGCGTGGCCCTGAGGGCCCTGCGTGGAAGGCAGGCGCTGAGAAGGAGGTAAATGCAATGCGCACTATGGGTGTATGGGATCCAGAGCCGGTTGACTTACCTCCAGGTAAGAAGGCCATTGGGGTCCGGTACGTTTTCCGCAGGAAAACTGACAAGGAGGATAAGGTGGTACAGCACAAGGTTCGCCTTGTTGCTAAGGGGTACACTCAGGAGCCTGAGAAGGACTATGATCAGGTATTTGCCCCTATGGGCAAGCTGACCTCAGGTCGGGTGCTTCTTGCAGAAGCCGCGGTAAAAGGGTGGCATGTACAACAGGAGGATGTTGATCATGCTTACCTCAATGCACTCCTTCAAGAGGAAGTGTATGTGAGGCAACCTGAGGGATTTGATGATGGTACAGGTAGGGTGCATCGCTTGCGCAAAGCTCTCTATGGGCTCAAGCAAGCGCCTCGTGCTTGGAATGAGGAGATTGGTACCACCTTGATTGCAGCAGGGTTTGACCGCAGTGCATGTGATGAGGCTCTGTACATCAGGTTTGTGGATGAAGAGCCAGTGTATGTATTGGTGTATGTGGATGACCTCTTGCTTGTGTCTCCACGCTTGGAGCTGATCGGTCAGGTCAAGGAGGTGCTTGCTCAGAGGTACCAGATGAAGGATCTAGGTGAGGTATCCATGTACCTTGGTGTGGAGGTTCGCAGGTCGGTCAAGGATGGGTGGTTGGAGATTGGTCAGGAGAAGTATGTCCGTGGTCTCCAGGGAAGGTTTGGTGATCTGCTGAAGGAGACCCATAGGGTGCATACTCCAATGTCACCCAATGATCTCTCTAAGATCAGGAATGGTACTTGGTCAACTGAGGAAGGTGTTGCAGCTGATGTCAAGGTGTACCAGAGTCTCATTGGCAGCTTGATGTATGCTGCTGTGACCACCCGTCCTGACATGTCTTTCACTGTCAACACCCTTGCACAGTCCTGCGTGGCACCAGGACGCATTCACATGCGCGCTGCACTGAGAGCACTCAGGTACTTGGTCGACACAGCTGATCGTGTCATCAGGTATGAGCGCCAAGGTGGTGAGCAGGTTGTCGGGTACACAGACTCGGATTGGGGTGGTGAGACTGATGGCAAGAGTCGCTCTGCCTACATCTTTAAGCTGGGAGGAGGAGCAATCAGCTGGTATAGCAAAAAGCAAGACAGTGTTGCAGCAAGCGTTTCTGAAGCTGAGTACAAAGCTCTATCGGAGGGGGCCAAGGAGGCCATTTGGTTGAGGAGTCTGTTGGCAGAGATGCATGTGGGGGATGGGGGGGCTATTCCATTGCTCTGTGATAATGAGGCAGCTGTCTCCCTTGCCCACAATCCCGTTCTCCATCAGCGCACCAAGCACATTAAGGTGGCATGGCACTTTGTACGGGATGCGGTGCGCCAGCAGGAGGTCGATGTGCACTCAGTACGCTCCCACCTCCAGGATGCCGACATGCTCACCAAAGCTCTTCCAAGCTTGCAGCTGCATGAGAACCTGGAGCGCATCGGCATGCGAGTGATTGCTGCGAAGGCCAAGGCTTCATTCGCTGGAGGGGTTGTATTTTGATTTATGGGTGAACTTTAATGCTTATTGGAGCAAGGGGGGGTGTTGGAATTAAGGTTAATTCGGGTTGCTCCAATAAAAATATGTAGTGGTACATCTACACTATGGTAGTGTAGAATACATTGGTTGGGTTGGGAGAACTTGTGGTGTACTCTTTAGAGTGGACCACCTCCCAAACCCTATAGGTTAGGGTTCTCTCTTGTTGGCATTTCACTTTTGGAAACCACTTTGGTTCTAGCATGGTTCATGCCCAAGTGGGCTCCTAGGATTCCTAGGCTTTAGGAGGAGGTTCTAAGACTACTAAAGCTTCCGCTAGTATCTTAGTCCATTCTAATAACAACATATTATATGTCACATATCAAAGATATCACATGCGACTGTTGGGCTGAGAAAAGCTCTTGGGATCGTTTCAAGGCTAAGACTCGAAGTGATGATGTAATTGCAGAAGCGTTGTAGTGAACTGATTGAACCACCTTGCACTAGTGTGTGAGAGCAAAATAGATTGATGATAGTCAAGAGATACGAAGCTTTATATGATTACAAGGGAATATGAAAAGACATAACTATTGATGTTGCTGTTGCGATTCAATACAGCTGCGACTCGGGCAACTGCTCAATAACGAGTAAGTTGTTTGTCCTTGATGTCGCGCTGCCTTTCGGTGAGTCAAAGGTCTCTAACCTTTGACCTTCGCTTAACCTCCTTGCTGTTGCATTTTGTCGACCTCTTCGGTTGACTCGCTGTTGCTTCGCTGTAGTCTGCCTCGCTTACGATTCAATGCTTCGACACATCAGAAGCGCAAACTACATGTTTCGAACAGCGACAACCAAAACAAACCCCCTTGCTCAGCTATTACAAGGACCCCCTTCACCTCCATTGGCCTTTCAATCGACCCTTTTTTCCCGCCTCAAGTGCAGCAGCTGTAGCTGCTGCTTCTGCTCCATGACTCTCGCAAACCTTGAAGCAACCTGAGCTTTTCCAACACAGTCTCAATGTCCGGTCGCCTTGACCGATCCTCCGCCACACAGTGCCGAGCCAGAATTGCCAAGCCTAGGGCGCTTCGCTCCGGGTACTGGTTACCAAGGCAAGGGTCGATATATTCTGTGGCTCTGGGTGCGAGGTGCGCAAAACGTGTTCTGCACTCGGTGACCACCCTGTCTCCCTCGTCCGCCACTCTCCTGCCGGTTACCAGCTCAAACAGGAGAACGCCAAAGGAGTAGACGTCACTTTTGGCACCCAGGTGTCCTGTCGTGGACGACGCGGGGCGAAACGGGGCAGGAAGGGGTGGGGGAAGGGTAGGGGAGGGGAATGAGAGGTGAGGGGAAAGAAGGGAATTGCACAAATAATATTTTCAATCAAGCGACCTATGGTGCTCGTGACGACCTGTGATGGGTGGGGTGGGGCGGGGAGGGGTGGTGAGGGGTGGTGAGGGGTGGTTAGGGGTGGTGAGGGGCAGGAGGGGACAGGGACAAGGTACACAGGAAAGATGTATCTCTTAGTGTCCTTAATGAGAGTCCACACCATCGACCTCTTCCCATGCTATCAAACCTCTTCCTCACACACCTGTCTCCATACACACACGTGGGGTCGAATCAGAGTAACCCCGAGACTTCATGATGTGAATATGCATGCTAAATTGCTAATCCTAGTCCCCCAGAGTCCTGGTCGCACACCTGTCGCCATGTAAGCAGGGTCGATGTAGCCTCCAGTGCCCATGATGCGAGTTGATACTGTCGAATGCAGTTGCCTATCGGGACCAGCTCGTACCATCCCAAAGCCTTTCAGCTTTGCACTGTACTCCTGTGGCGTAGGGAGGGAATGGACGAGTGGGAAATTTGGAGGGGAGGGGGCAGATGCAGACATTTGTTGGGTAGCCATATGTGATATTGCGCATAATATCCGTGCCGTGGTGGAAAATGGGAGAGTGGGTAGCCATATGTGATTCGGAGGGATGGTGAAAGCAGCGCTGATGGCTTGCTGCCTGTACTATCTGCCCTGCTACCTCCCCTCTCCCGCACGCACTAAGGCAAGAGCGGCGCTGTCGACTTGCTGCTCCTGCCACCTGCCCTGCTTCTTCTGCTCTCTCCCATACCCTTACATGCACTCCCAGCCCAGGCGAGAGCAGCACGTTGGCTGCTCCCAAATCGCAGCGGATGCAGTTCAGACCATGCATCATCCATGCACGTACGCCAGGGTCTCTGCCGCCTACACTGCACTGCACCGCACTGCACCGCTGATTAATATGTTTCCCCAGCCTCCCAATGCTACCCGCCCCCCCCCAGCAGCAACCCACCTCCCCAAGCTACCCACCCACCTCCCCAGCACCCCGCACTCACGGGAGAGAGCAGCACGTTGAAGGCTTTCAGATTGCGGTGAATGAGGTTGCTTCCATGCAAGAAGGCGAGGCCTTCTGCCACGTGCACCGCCACCTGCAGCCGCATGTCCCAGCTGAAGGAGCGCTTGCCGCTCGCACCTGGTGGGTGGGGGAGGAGACGGGGAACGCGGAGGAGAGGCGAGGAGAGATAGTGAATACAGGGGAATGGGACGGTGGTGTGGTGTGGCTCACAGGTGCATGTATGCGAGGGCCTCTGCTGCCACCTGCACCGCCACCTGCAGCTGCATGTCCCAGCTGAAGGAGCGCTTGCCGCTCGCACCTGGTGGGTGGGGGGAGGTAAGAGGCGCGGTGGGGCGGGTGGGGGAGGAGACGGGGAGGAAGGGCAGAGAAGAAGAGAAGTATTGAGGAGTGAGAAGGTGGTGCTTGTCTCTGCTGAAGAAGAGGGTGGGCTTCGCACCTGGTGGGTGGGGGGATGAGAGCGGGGTACAGGCGGGCGGGAGGAAGGGTAAGATCAGTCGGTACCAAGGAGTGGGAAGGAAGGCAATGCTTGTCCCGGCTGAAGAGGAGCTCTCCTCTCCACTCGCACCTGGTGTGATGAGACCGATTTTTTAGTCGACTCAAAAATCGTCTCATTACACGCGGAAGGAAGGCAGTGCTTGTCCCACGAAAAGGAGCTCTCTATTCGCACCTGGCAAGTGACAGGGACGAAGGAGATAGGGAACGGGGTGGTGGCGAGGGCAGGAGGGCAGAGATGGCATCAGGGAGGGCAATGAGGGCACAAGGGGAAGGCAGGGAGGACGGAGAGCGCAAAAACAAGGGCAGCGAGAGCAGCAGAAAGGGCAGCAAGAAGGGCAGAAGGGGTTAGCCGGGAGGACAGAGAGGGCAGCACGAAGGGCAGAGTGGGCAGGGAAGGCAGAGAGGTGAATGAAAGCACCCCTCGTCATAAACCCGTACATAAACGTGAATGAAAGCAGGGAGAGAGGCAACTACTGCATCTACTCTTAACTGGAACAGGCCATAGCACCCCACTCACTCACTGTCTGTCTGCCCGCGCATTGACGAGGCTTCCCTTGTCATGAACAGCACACGAGCAAGCAGGGCGAGGGGGAGGAGAGAGAGAGCAGAGTCCACTCTACTCTGCCCTGGTGGTAAACCATCTCATCCCACTCACTTTCCAGCAGCACGTTGTCAAGGCTGCCCCCCGTCACGAGCTCGTACACGAGCAGAGCCTCGCTGCGTTCCATGCAGTAGCTGTGCAGGTGCACGAAACGGGGGTGATATAGCCGCCCCAGCACGATTATTTCTCTCTGCGATGGGTTGGATGGAGTGGTGGGTGCTGGGATGATGGGTGCTGGGGTGCTGGAGTGCGGGTATAAATGTTCCATCCAGTAGCCATGCAGGTGCACAAGGTGTGGGTGGGACGGCCGCGTGTGATGTGATGAGACGATCTTTGAGTCGAGTCAAAGATTGCCCAAGCACGATAGCCTCCTCCTTTGATCAAGGGAGTTTGCACTCTGTGGAAAAGTGATGCTCGCCAGGAAAATTGGCATCCCACCCTCTCAGACACTGACATGTTATGGTGCAACCCGCCCTGCCTTCTCCCGCAACCATGCACGCACGCACCAGAAACGTCTCCATGTGTCGTTCGTTCGCGTCGCGCATTCTCTTTATCGCCACCGCCGTCGGCTCTGGACCAAGCCCATTCGGCCCTGGCGGGATCACCCCCTGATACACAACCCCCTTCCCGCCATTGCCAATGACGTATCGCGGACGGAACCTGTTCGTCGCAGCCTCAAGTTCGGCGAGCGAAAACCGTCGCAGGGAGCTCGGGATGAGGTCAGGGTGGGGATTGTCGCTGCTAGTGTCTGTCGCCGCCAAGACAGGAGCGAAGAGGGCCGCCATGGTAGAGAGCTAGTAGTAGGATTGCAGTGTTGCGTTGAGCGTGGAAGAATTGGAAATCGCAATCCAGAACGGAGCAGGTGTGCCGCCGGAAGCGCCTAATCGTTGAGTGGAAATCTCTTACAGCTGCCAAACTAGGATGTGGGAATAATATATGGAGGTAAGGTCGTGCTACTAGCTATAGTATTCAGGACCTGCAAAGTCTCTGGCCCACGGAGAACCAGGCCGGACCAGCTTCGGACCGAGCTGGCCCGAGACGGACCTGAGCTGTTGATCACAGGCAGGAAAGAGGTTTTCCGCCAAAAGAGACCGCTACGCGCTATACAGCTGTAGCAATGGTACGCCAATGCGTCATAACAGTCCGCGAAACCTAGACACTGGTCCGCCTCGGTCGCAGCAGCTCGCGCGAGTCGCGTCATCAGAGGAGGTCGTATTCTTCGCGATTCTTTACCTGGACACGAAAGCTGGTTGCTCGATGTGCGCCTTCGCGAGCTCATAATCGCGGAGGCCTGCATATTGGCCTCTGCGCTGGGCCCCACGGTTGTAGTGGCACCATTCGGGACTGGTCTGGTCATGCTAGTCAACCAGAGCGTGTGAGACCTGGTTCTGGCCTAGCCGCCTAATCAGTCCGACATGGTACAAATATCGCTTACCACTTTCGGACCAAAGCTCGTTCGAACGTCAGGTTGGTAAGGGTGTGTTACATTTTCGATTTTTCCGGACGGTTCGGACAATTACCACTCTGAAACGAATTGAAACCCACTTGAACAAAGCGTTCAACAAATGAACCACTTTGAGCCGTTCTGACCGTCCAGTTCGTCTGGAGAAATTTGAAAATGAACGAGCTTTGGTGTTGGCTGGTGTGAGAAGCTATTGACGATTTAGATCACGGTGAAGATTTTAACCAAGTAGGTGTGAAGTCTCCCGCTATAAGTAAATTTTCCTTTTCCTTACCTCGCGTCCCTGCTCAGCGCGTACACCACTCTAGCACCACAGTCAGCAGCGTTACCACTCGCAACCCTCTCATCGACAATCCTCCTGCCACCTTCGCACGTCGCACCCCGACCTCACGGCTCGGCGGGTAACCCGCACTCCGGGCCTCCGCCTCGACATTTTCCCAACCTCAGTTCCTGGCCCGTCGCGCGTCACCCACAGGCCATTACCGTTACCACTGTGGTTTCGCTATATATTCTTCGCTCATGCCTTCGCTCATTGTACTCCTGCTTCGATAGTGCAATTCTCGCTCGCTCACTCAATTGCACTTGTAACACTTGGTATTCAGAGTCTACGATCCCTTCTCGGACCGCACCCACACCTTCACTTCCCCACTATCTCATTTTTTGGGGGGGTAAGACGTCTCTCAGCAACACATCACCGCCGCTCGTAGTGCTCTCTCGTAAGCACGCACGACTACAACAGAGGCTCTCGCTGAGCTTGCCCGACACCCCCGCCATGACCGAATCCACTCTCGCGACATTGACGCACGAGCAACTCGACCATCTCATACGCTAAGTTGAAGAATCGGCGCTCGAAATTGCGACGCTCACGGCCGAACGTGACTCCACACGTTAGCAATCCACGGTGAATACTCTGGCGCCACCACACAGACCTGCAAATGCACCCGCACAATCGGAGGAGCCGATAATCATCTCATCAGGCACACCAACACAAAATGACAGCGTCGGACAGCGCTCCGGCGCAGCCAGTGATGGCGCCGCCCACTCAATGCCTGGTATGGAGAGGAACAGGGTCGCGCCAAGCCCGCGGGAGCCTCGCGAGGCCCGTGGGCTGGACCCGTGGGCCCTTCCTCTTGCGACGGTGGCTCGTAGGCGCGTGGCGACGTCACGATGACTCGCCACCAGCCCGCGGCATCACCAACCTCGCCCGTCCACCGCAAAGTGGGGGAGGTCTCTGGGTGGGAGACACGGGGCCAGATGTTGAGCTGTTCAGCGGCGTATGGGACCGCAAACGTCCACAAAAAATGGGGAGCAACCGCATGGATCATGGAGGTGCGAGCAACCTCTATGACTAGACCAATGCGGTGCTCGGCAATCCCATTCTGCTGTGGAGAGGTTGGAAGCATGTACGACTAGTCTGGGAGGATCTAGTTCATGAAAGATAATTCTATTGAATGATCCACCTGGGTACAAGGCGAGCCTATATGTAGGCTCGACACAAAGGCAGTAACCTGGGTGTTACTAAAAGGTTCCACTTGTCGCGTAGCGTCCCGAACGGGTTTTTCCCGAATCTATAGAAGGCAATTCGGTGGCAACCGAAAAGCCTAGAATTTGGTGCACTCAACATAAGCCAGCATAAGCCATCGTACTCTCATACGTCCCCCCCTCAAAGCTGGGTGGCATGAGAAACACCCTGCTTGACAAGATAGTCCTTGAGAGCACGGCGTGCGTTGCCCATATCAGCTTCTGCAACCCAACTGTCCTCCGATAGGTCATATCCCTTCCAGCGTATCAGAAACTCGAGCGTGTTGCCACGTCTGCGTTGATGAGCGAGAAATTTTTCCACCTCGTACTCTGGTTCATCCCGTATGAGAACAAGTGGTGGTGGCGGTAGCTGGTGTCCCTGGAACTGTTGGTTGGGGTCCTTGTAGGGCTTTAGTAGCTTAACATGGAAAGCGTTGTGAAGCTTCCACGCAGTAGGTAAGCGGAAGCGGAATGTTAATGGTGTCATCTGTGCCTCAACGCAAAAAGGACCACAAAAGCGAGGCCGGAGCTTAGACAGCAGGTGAGACAGGTTCAAGTTGCGCGTGTCAAGAAGCACCTAATCTCCGACTGCTACTGAGTGATCACGTTGCTAGCGATCAACATACTACTTCTGGGAGTTCTGCATCGTGGTGAGACGTCGCTGAGTCTTCTCCCATAGCTGTTGCATGGTGGTGACGAAGTCGTGTGCGGCTTGGACATGTGGCGGTGTGGTTGGCTGCGGTGGTGTAAGTGGTTCCCGTCCGTAGCACAGGACGAAATGAGTTTTCCCTGTGGGCGTTGCTGTAAGCGAACTCTAGGGCCGGTAACTGTGTGTCCCAGTGGCTGACATCGTCTTTGCAAGCTGTGCGCAGTAACTGTTCAACCACATGATTGAGTCGCTCTATCTGTCCGTCAGTCTGGGGGTGGTACGCTGAAGACATTGCAAGTTTTGTCCCCAACAAACCCATGAGTTCCCTCCAGAACTTAGATGAGATGAGTGTAGCGGGGATGCCGTGGATGATGATGATGCGGTCGAAGAAGAGGCGAGCAGTTGCTTCAGCTGTAGCCGTGGTGTTGGTCGGGATGAAGTGACCCATTTTGGAGAACTTGTCGATCACCACGATTATAGCGTCACGCCCTCGTGAGGTCGAAGGAAGTCCTGTGATGAAGTCGAGGCTAACGACCTGCCATGGCTGCTCCAGTACGGGTAGAGACTGAAGTAACCCTGCTTTTTTCTGCTGGCTATGTCAGAACATTATAGCTTATGATGTTGTGTAGGCTATTGTGGGGTATCCCATAGGGGGTACAACCCAATTAGGGTTTCATATTTGTACTCACTTCATTCATAGTTCATTCATTCTCGTTCTACTTTTCTCATGGTATCGAGCAGGTTCCCCTGTGGGAACTGTGCCTAGGGCCCACCACGTTGATTTTTTTTCCTGCCCGAAGCGCGCTCGCCCTGAGCCGCGCTCCGGGCCCTCTCTCTTTTTGTCGAGCTGCCCTAGAGGCTCTGCCGCCCGTCGATTAGTCGCGGCCCCGCCCTTCGTCGCGGCCCCGCCTCTCACGTCGCGGCCCCGCCTCTCTCGTCGCGGCCCCGCCCTTCGTCGCGGCCCCGCCCTACTTCGCGGCCCCGCCCTACTTCGCAGCCCCGCCCTACTTCGCGGCCCCGATCTACTTGGCGGCCCCGCCCTACTTCGCGGCCCCGCCTCTCTCGTCGCGGCCCCGCTTCGCGGCCCCACCCTTCGTCGCGGCCCCGCTACCCCTCGTCGCGGCCCCACTACCCCTCGTCGCGGCCCCGCCGCCTCTCTCGACGCGGACCTGCCGCCCTTCGTCGCGGCCCCCGCCGCCTCTGTCGTCGCGGCCCTGCCGCCCCTCGTTGCGGCCCCTGCCGCCCTTGTCACGGCCCCGCCACCCTGCTTAGCGGCCCCGCCGCCTCTCTTGACGCGGCCCCGCCGCCCTTCTTGGCGGCCCTGCCGCCCTTCGTCGCGGCCCCTGCCGCCCTTCGTCGCGGCTCTACCGCCCTTCGTTGCGGCCCCGCCGCCATTCTCCACTGCGGCCCCGAGCCGCCCGTGCCACCTGCGCCACCCGAGACGCCCGAGCCGCCTACGCTGCCCGAGCCGCCTGTGCCGCTGAGTACCCGAGCCGCTGAGCCGTCTGAGCCGCTAAGGAGCCAAGCCGCTCGAGCCGCTTGTGCCGCTGGTCCCACGGAGCTGCTGTTGCTACTGGGCCGGCCGAGCAGCAGTGTTGCCATGTTGCTGTGCTGCTGAGCTGCAAGAACCGCCCTG